AAGTGGAGGTAATGCATTACCCATGGTCTACCTTAACATAAAAACATCCATATCTTTTTACATAAACAAATACAGACCAGACATTATATCACCTACTTTGACCTTGACCTTTAAACGACAGTAAAGCTCTTGTGAATTTAATATATGTAAATTATATATATGTAGATCAAAAGATTTCTATTAAAAGTATTCCCAAACTTTCGAAATTATATACCATTTTTATAATTCAGATAAAATTATCTTCATTTGCTTGACAAATGACCTTTAAATGTGACCTTGACCTATAAATTTAAGTAACATACCTTCCTCATGAGGTTTTGAAATCTACACTACTGAGTAATTAAGAAGTTCACAAAATTCAACTTTTGACTTATATAATAGTTCAGTTAAACTTGACACTTTTAGTTTACTTGTATCTTACAAAATTTATCTAATCCAGTTCAAACACCAAGTATCAATTTACTTTAACTGATAAAATAGTACCCTTGATTTGGAAGACAAATACACATTCTTACATCACACTATCATATTTAAAGCAACATGCACCCAGATTTTGTAAATATTTTATAAACTAGAAATGTGTCCATAGGACACGGATGCCCCCACACGCCACTGTTCTGTCAATCTTATGACTCTAGGTCAAATATTTTTTGGACTACATGTGCCACAAGTTGAAAACTAAAAATCAAGAAAGGGCCATAATTCTTTTAAATTTGGTCGCAGCAAAAATTCCTTCCTTTACTACCATCTACACATTAAGGTTGTTAATCCCTGGAAGTTTAAGCAAAATCTGCCATCCGGTTTAAGAGGAGTTGCATTCACAAAATTTCAACATAGTATATAATGAAACAAGAGGGCCATGATGGCCCTAGATCGCTCACCTGAATTATCAAACTCATCCAAACAATTACCTAGACAAGCATTCTGACCAAGTCTCATGACAGGTGAGTCAAAAATGTGACAACTACAGTGTTAACAAGGATTATCCATATTTGAGCAGTGCGACCTAGTTTTTTACCCAGGTGACACATATTCAAACTAAACCTAGAAATCATCAAAACAAACTTTCAGACCAATTTCCAGGATACTTGGATCAAAACAGTAGCAACTAGAGTGTTAACAAGATTTTTCTATTTTTAGCTCCGGTGACCTAGTTTCACATGCGATTTCGAACTCATCCAAGCAATTACCTAGACAAGCATTCTGACCAAGTTTGATGATAATGGAGTCGAAAATGTGACCACTAGAATGTTAACAAGGTTTTTCCATATTTGGGCGGTGTGACCTAGTTTTTCATCCAAGATGACCCATGTTCGATCTTGACTTAGAAATCATCAAAACAAACTTTCAGACCAATTAACAGAATATTTGGATCACAACAGTAGCCACTAGAGTGTTAACAAGATTTTTCTATTTTTAGCTCCTGTGACCTAGTTTTTCATCCAAGATGTCCCATGTTCGATTTATTCCCAGCAATGACCTAGACAAGTTTCCTGAACAAGTTTGATGACAATTGAGTCAAAATTGTGACCACTAGAGTGTTAACAAGGTTTTTCTATTTTTAGCTCCTGTGACCTAGTTTTTCATCCGAGATGACCCATGTTCGAACTCATCCGAGTTATTACCTAGACAAGCATCTTGATCAAGTTTGATGATGATTGATGCAAAAAATGTGACCGCTAAAGTGTTAACAAGGTTTTTCTATTTTTAGCTCCGGTGACCTACTTTTTCATCCGAGATGACCCATGTTGAACTCATCCAAGCTATCAACTAGATAAGCATCCTGACCAAGTTTGATGATGATTGATGCAAAAATGTGACCGCTAGAGTGTTTAACAAGGTTTTTCTATTTATAGCTCCGGTGACCTAGTTTTTCATCCGAGATGACCCATATTCGAACTCATCCGAGCTATTATCTAAACAAGCATCCTGACAAAGTTTGATGATGATTGGGTCAAAAATGTGACCACTAGAGTGGTCACAAGGTTTTTCTATTTTTAGCTCCTGTGACCTAGTTTTTCATCAGAGATGACCCATGTTCGAACTCATCCAAGCAATTGACTAGACAAGCATTCTGACCAAGTTTGATGATGATTGGTTCAAAAATGTGACCACTAGAGTGTTCACAAGGTTTTTCTATTTAAAGCTCCTGTGACCTACTTTTTCATCCGAGATGACCCATGTTCGAACTCATCCGAGCTATCACCTAGACAAACATCCTGACCAAGTTTGATGAAGATTGGGTCAAAAATGTGACCTCTAGAGTGTTCACAAGGTTTTTCTATTTTTTAGCTCTTGTGACCTAGTTTTTCATCTGAGATGACCCATGTTCGAACTCATCCGAGCTTTCAACTAGATAAGCATCCTGACCAAGTTTGATGATGATTGAGGCAAAAATGCGACCGCTAGAGTGTTCACAAGCAATTGTGGACGGCCGGACGGACGACGGACGACGGACATTCATCGATCCTAAAAGCTCACCCTGAGCAAGCTCAGGTGAGCTAAAAAGGGCCATAATTCTGTTAAATTTGGTTGCAGCAAAAATTCCTTTCTTTTTTACCATCTACACATTAAGGTTGTTCATTCCTTGAAGTTTAAGCAAAATCTGCTATCCGGTTTAAGAGGAGTTGCATTCACAAAATTTCTACATAGTATATAGTGAAAAAATCAACAAAGGGCCATAAATCTGTAAACATTGGTCGCAGCGAAAATTCCTTCCTTTACTACCATCTACACCTGAAGGTTGTTCATCCCTGTAAGTTTAAGCAAAATCTGCCATCCGGTTTAAGAGGAGTTGCGTTCACAAAATTTCTACATAGTATATAGTGAAAAAATCAACAAAGGGCCATAATTCTGTTAAATTTGGTCGCAGCAAAAAATCCTTCCTTTACTACCATCTACACATAAAGGTTGTTCATCCCTTAAAGTTTAAGCAAATTCTGCCATCCAGTTTAAGAGGAGTTGCGTTCACAAAATTTCTACATAGTATCTAGTGAAGAAATCAACAAAGGGCCATAATTCTGTTAAATTTGGTCGCAGCAAAAATTCCTTCCTTTACTACCATCTACATGTACACATTAAGGTTGTTCATCCCTGTAAGTTTAAGCAAAATCTGCCATCCGGTTTAAGAGGAGTTGCGTTCACAAGATTTCGGGACGTACGGACGGACGGATTGACGGACGGACGGACAAGTGCAACGCTATATGCTCCCACATTGTGGGGGCATAAAAATTAACAAGTCTGTTGGACAGGTTCCTCACATGAAAGAATCCAAAGCCATTGTCATGATTTGAACCAAAATCAGTGAGAGGCAAGTGGTTTGAAGTCAACAACCATAACTTAATTGCCACAAACGCCCCACACATGACAATATTCACACATCTTTTAAACAATAAATATCAATTCTTCACTCAGACTTTTGAAAATTTCTTTGCTTATCTGGAAGCATGCCGCTTTAAATAATTAATATAAGTTTAACCCTCACCACCCTAAATATCTTAAATGGACTTGTCCATCTTTCAATCTGGACATAACCATTTAACACTGTTAGGGAAAATTTCAATATAAATACTGACAGAATAGTGAACAGTGCAGACCATGATCAGATTTCACTGATGACCTGGCTGATTTTGACCTGCACTGGTCATATCGGTAAACTCATTTATTCGCAGCAAAGTCAAAGTTAATCTTAAGTAGGCGTTAACAAATTTACATATGCAAATTACTTATATTTTGTGCACAGCAGTATGAACCAAAGTTATGAATAACCATGCTATAATGATTTTATAGTATAATTTGTAATGTTCAAGAAATGAGCTCGAAATGATTTTATTGCAGAATGACTGAAGTAGCGTTTGTCGTGTAAATAAAATGCCTTCCATGTTCGATAAAATAAATGGCTATGAAACATAATAATCAAGGTATAAACATTAACTTATAACAAAGTAATGTCACAACTTAGATAAATAAATTAAACAGCTATGAAACATAATATAGGTAACAAAATCAACTCAGACCAATATTATTTCTTAAATGAAAGACATCTTTGACTTGTCAATGAACATTATAAATATGTGTATATGTATATGAAGATTCAATGTATTTATTCTAACACACAACTGGCTTTCTAAAGCAATATACATGTATAAAGGTTCCTTTCATCGTGTTTGCAGTTAAAAGCAAAAAGAATCAGACATAGCTTCCTTTAGCAAAGGTTAAGGAGCCATTTACTCCTTGATTTTGAATTGTTACTTACAAAATCTAATGTTTTTCCTTCTTGACCTACATAATGTCACTTCCAATGTCAAGACATTTTGCAGTCTCTTTACTTACAAATGTTTGGATTTAATGGAAGACCTGATCAGGTGGTTAACTCTAACACTGGTACATTTATGCAATGTACTGTCATTCAACCAGCTTAAGTCAATTACCTGTTAACCAATTATCACACAGATTACCAAATTGGTATAAATGACTGTTAAGTACATCCACTTATCAACAGATATTTGTGCCTAAATAAAACTTTTAACAATGCTAATATTGATAATGACCTGACTTAGTCTAAATCAACAACATAAAGTTCAACAAGTCTGTCTCTGCTGCCAATCTAGACTGCAATATTCTAGCTATTTTATATTACAATAACTTATTTAAATGACAGGCAGGTCCAATGTCAAGGCTGCACAAGTGTGTTGTACAAATTAAGCTAGGAAAAATATTTGTAGTTAATTTGATTCTAAAATGTCATTAAAAACCATATAAGGAATGGAAAAAGCCTGTATAAAAACATAATTAATCATCTAAATATTATGACAATTACACCAGCAATGGATTGGCTAATATTTATCGTATTTTCTCCCTAATTCATTAATATAAATATTGCCTGTTTTCCAAATATTGTTCTTTGTGTTAGTAAATAACATAAAATAAACTTTATCTTAATAACAGTTCAATATTCTTTATGCTATAAAAAGGAACACAAATTATATAACATCCAATAAAGCCATTAACATAAGTATTGTAGACATTTCCATACACATGTTGATAATGATATCCATGTACTGAAAAAAAGGATTGTTCCAAACATAAGACAGTTCAGATTGTCCAAAAAAAAAAAGTAGACCGATCCAAACACAAGCGTGTTTCATACTTTTATACTGATAAATGGATTATTCCACACATAAGATGTTCAGAATTCCATGATGAATATACCAGTGTATTTGGACTGTTGCAAACTAAAGGGGTGTTCAGCATACCTCAATAGTTAAAAGTACTTTCTTTTCTGGATAGTCATTATAATGAAAGGACTATTCCAAATTTGAGGGTGTTCAGATTGCCATTAATATAATGAAACTATTTCGAGCACAAAGGTGTTCAGGTATTGAGTCACTATACAGCACTACCAGAGTTTGAATTCTTTCCTATTCGTTTCACAAGAGGTCTATCATATACCCAATGTTCTCCTTCTTCATGAAAATGCTGAAAAAATAAAATAGATCAGTCAATAAATGCAACAACATTTACAAGCTCTTAGATGTATTAAGATACTTTATTTTATGCTTTTCAGTGGATTACTGATTTATCCGTGAAAATTATATTTGATAATTTCACAGTGAAAATTATCAAAATATAATTTCACACTTTTCAATGACGAAACTACTTTTTTAAGATTTTCCCCATGTGGCACCTCAATTTTATTTTTGCTGACTATTCCGACAATGCCAGGCTGTTTAAAGAAAAGCAAAGCTGAAATTGATGAATAACTTATATGTCACAAGTAATAAAAAGAAGAAAACTTACAGTAAGTTACTTCTATTCATTCAAGTTACCAATCATCAGGTACGTATATTAACGGTATCCGCAACTCTATACAGTAAATCAATAACGGTAAATTATGCTGTCGTGGCAGATAATCCATCCAGACTGCCGATCGTTATCGATTTTTATCGACGATTACATATCATTAAGCGGAGTGATATTTGACCTTGGTTATTTAAATTACCGTCAACATGTTATTTTCTGTTCAATTTTTTAAAAGTAACATATTCTAGAAAGCTGAAAGATAGATTTTTTCAAATATATATTTTATAAATCAATGCGTTTAGTATGAAGAAAATTACGACGAGTTAAACACAGAATTTTTTTTTTTGTCTCCCGATTATGTCAAAACTTCAGTAAAAATAATGATGCCCTCTTCGAACAAATATAAGTTTTTTTCGTTATTTATGGTCCGAATTTCGCAAAATACCTATCAAAAGAAAGCTGAGAATTTGATCATTTTAACCGTGTAATTATCATTTACAAAGCTAAATTATTTCTGGAATTGTAACAAGTAAAAAAGCGCAACTTTTACTACCAGCCAAATCGCGACTGCACACGAGAATTTTATATACGTTAATATACGTACCCGCAATCACCAAATATCGTCTCTTTAATTTTTTGTTTCATTTTTACATTCTGAAAAATACATTCCTTCCACATGCAAAACTGCTCTTGATGACATTTGGGAATATTTAAGTATCCTACGAGCAATAACTGCCGTATGCTTTATGAATAATTCAAACCAGCTTAATCATCTTCTCAAAGCCACAATATGTAAATAATAAATAATACATGATTTTCAGGAGTATACCTTAGTTTCGACTTTAAGGCCTTTTTCCTTACGTTCCTTTGCCTCTTCACGTTGTCGTTGTTCTAGTTTTTGTTTATATTCTGTCGCCTTCTCGACGTTATCATTTCTTAAATTTATCGTAACTTCCTGCCACAATCTGAAAGGTGAAATTATTAAACTTCATCCACAGGCCAATATTTTCCTTCCCTATCCTATATCTTTATACTGTAGTATTTCCATACCTAATATCTGCGATGCCCCATGAAGACTGTTAGTTATTTTATTATTTTTAGGAGGTAGTATATGGAATTACAGCAGTTGCAGAGGCCACCTTGATCCCTTTACATGCCTAGGATGTAGAGAACTTATACAAGGGACCTCGATTTTTCAGGCCTTATCCATAAGACCATGTCTTGTTAGTGGTAGAGCAGGGGATCAAACTGTGGAAGACTGCTTAAAAAATAATTACCATATTAAATAGGGGTGAAAATTTGTACAACAACCAGGTTCCTCACCAATAAATATGTAGAAACGGGTATCTTTAATCCTGGGTTGGTGGCAATATCTCACATATTCAAAATCAGTCTGTAAAATTCTTTCTCTTTGGGTTCAACAACGAGATGTCTTTACGATCCTTTTTTTCTCTCTCAATTTTTAAGAGTAGACTCTTACCTCATTACTAAATGAATGAAGCTACTTGTATACCAAGCAGTCAATTTATCAATCTACAATGTAATTCTCTTTTTCCTGATACAATTAGCTAATAACATTTACTGTTTTATCATGTCATATTACTCTACACTCCTTGTAGTAGTAAAATGTCACACAAAAAATACGAAAGGCCCAAATGTATCATAAAATATATTAGATGATGTTACAGCACAGAATTTTTCGTAATTCATTCACAAAATCTGTTGGGCTGTATCTATCTTTTTTTTCAAGTCTTGTGTATGTGATGTACTGATCAACAAAAAATCTATAAATAACTCACCTTCTAGATTCAAACTCATCTTGAGTCTCTCTTGGCTTGACTTGCTTTCTTGATAATAGGCAGTTTCTTTGTATCAACAAATGCTTCATTCATCTAAAGTATCAATAACAAATAAAATTTTAATAAAATAATAATTCAAATTGACAACTCGTAAAATAATCATTAAAATATTGATAAGTTGAAATTAAATTTATTTCAATAATTGATTTGTTTGTTGTTTTTATGCATATAAAAAAACATATTTCAACACACTTTTGGTCATATCTTGAAAGTCAGTCCATGTAATCTTTTGTTTGTTTGTTTGATTGGGTTTTACGTCACACTGACACAGTATAGGTCATATGGCGAAGTTTCAGCTTTACTGGTGGAGGAAGACCTCAGGTGCCCTTTCATGCATTCCATGTAATCTACTTTCCTAGATAACTAACATGTAATTACCAAATTCTCTGCAAGCAACATATTACTCATCTAACTTTACCTTAAATAACTAATCTGCGTAAGAAACAAAATAATGACCATCAAACTCAATAAACGAGATCTATTGGCATGGACAATTATTTTTACCCCCAAGATTCCAACTAGCGACTCTATCGTGTATTCTTCATATTGATCTAAGCTGCTGTACAAACTCATTTATTACAGACAAACAAGTTTCAACAATACAGATGACAATTTTACACTTTTCTATCTGATTAGAAGCACAATCAGTTTATATAGTACAATGTACCTCAGTAATATACATAGTCCATGAGCAGTTAATAATCAACTATAACTGTATTTATCACACACCCGTGCCGATTTTGCAACTCCGTAAATATGGTATTGTTGTCAGTCATGTTGTCATGATAGACTAAACATAAGCCTTGCTCAGGGTTTCAACACACAAACCCCAGCACTCTTCCTACTGAAGTAATCAGTCAGGCATATCAAGAAATATACTAGTACACTGATTGAGTAAAGAGTGTAACCTTTAAAATAATGAACTCTTTTAAAAGCGCAAATTATTAATACTACTTACCCCTGTGGTATATTTGGCCCACACTGTTCCGTTCCATTCACCATCAAGAACACAGAATGGTTTCTTTTCGTTGGGAGCATAAATATTTCCAGCAATTCGATGTTTTTTGCCACCATAGAATGGCTTAGTTAAAAAGTCTACAGTTGCGTTATAGCCAGTTTTAGGGCAAGACACAGTTATATTTCCTCCAAGTTCAACCCATGGCACTGTTAATATGGACCTGAAAAATATTATCATACATGTACATGTATATACCTACAGTAGCTCTACATCAAAACAGCAAAACATGTCACAAGGGTCAGCTGGACTATTCTCAGTGTTCGATAATAAAAACAGCAACTAGTTTAGAGGCAAGTCAACCCATACATCATTGCAGTTTGACAAGTTTGCATACTGTTAGTTACTGTTAGCTGAATTTTAACATTTTGATACCACAATTAATAGCACTAACAATGGACTATTCCTAATTCAAAGATGGACAAGTCCATTATACAAATTAAGCTGGATAAATATCCGATAACCTGCAATAAAGCTTTTGTCATAATCTACTGAACTAAAATATATGACATCTAATAAATGTTAAAGGCCCATATTGTCTCAGAAATGATATCAATTTTTTTTTTTAAAAAAGGGGGGTATCTAATATTCTTGTTACAGTTTCCAAAAATACTTATTAGCCATATTCATGAACTGCCTTCTGCTACTTTTGCTCTGGTTGGCAACAGGTATAATTCAAGCGAATCAGTATTTTGTATGGAAGCAGGGTCTTTCTATTTGAAAGACCCTGATGGAAGTCAAAATACTATTTTGTTTACATTTTGCTATCTTAAGAAACATAATGCTATTGGCCATTTCTAAAGAATTAAACAAATATGAATATCTGAGGCATAATGTGCCTTTAAACCATATATCAAATAATCTAATAGCTTACTATTACAAAGAATATTTAAACAAGAATTTACCTTCCATATCCATTAGGAAATGTAATGATGTATTCCTCGTCCCAGTCTAGCAAAGATATCACAGCTTGTCCTATCATATGTACACCTATAGATAGTCCGAGGAACTTTGACTTTGTCCATATATAGCCATCTAATGTTATACGCTTGTTGGCATGCTCAGCATAAAATGCTGATACTGTAAGAGATTTTAAAACAAATATAAAATAATCTGGAGTCTATTTTAAGGATGTTTTCTGGAACGAGAAAGGTGACCACAAAATTCTTTTCATTTCAAATGTTTCTGTTATCAAATTCTAACAACAAGCAAAGTTTAATGAAATTCTATTGAACAGTTTAAATGTTGCCTATATGTTTATATGAAAACTCCTGAAAACGTCTTAAATACAAACAGAAAACAAATTATAGTTCAAGCTTAAACATGAACAATTTGTGAAATGTATGTGTTTTTCTTTGATGGCGTACAAATTTCTATTTTGTTTTTCTGAGTTTTCACAAAAACTTTAACACATTATTTGCTCAAATCCTGGCAGACAATCCACCTAACCAGCTTTGTTGGATAACTAACCAGTAATTATCAACTTCACTGCAAGTGCAACTACTAAATCAACAAGCTTCTTGAATCAACAGTGACAGACAAATGACAATTAAGCTTAATGTCTGAGATTAAGTGTCACAGAAAAATTACGCTTCACCAGAGGATTGAACCAGCAACCCTCAGATTACTTATGCCATGCTCTCTTTACCAAGCTAAGTCAACAGACTGCATTGTGGATACCATATACGGTTCAAAACCATTCCAAAGTTTAATCTATATATTATATGTTTGAATAAATCTCCTACACATAATTATTTTATTAGCAAATCTAGTCTGTATAAATTAACAGGGTCAAACTTGTAGTGATCTTACACTAGTCTTATTGCACCCATCTGTATGAAATCTTTATAATGCAAGTCTGTAGATGACCAAAAACAGTTTTATCTTCAGTGACATATTCATTCCTTTTTTTTCAATACAAAATAAAAACATGATGTAAAACAACAATTTAAATTTCTGATCTGATAATTCCACACAGTTTTGAAATGAAAGAGAACTTTTTACTTAATGTTTTTTCAAGATGAAATGAAATGAAATGTCACTGACTTTTCTACATGTAATACTAGAAATATTCTCTTTAACTACAGAATGTTGATAATGACAAAGCAGTACAATGTTGCCTAGAAATCCTGACAAAATTTACTGTTTGAAATCATATTTAATACCTTTGCAATAAAAGTGTAAGAAAAACTTTGATAAATGAAAACTACTGGTAGTTAGAAACAAACGCTTTCAAGTATTGATGGTATTTTGTAAGAAATGCTGACAAAAATTATATCGTTAATACTAATATTTTTGCTAATTTATTTCATCTCCAGATGAGTAATATAAATCTTCACAGGATTAACCTTTAGAAAATACATGTATATCTATACATTAAAAAATGTATATTATTTATAAACCAGGTCAAACTTTGAATTCATTATGCAAAATATTCCTGAATTTACTATTTTTGTCACCTATATTTTATCAATTTGAGAGAATTTTTCTGCATATTTTGATGAGATATGGGTAGTTATTGTAGATAGTAAGTATGGTAAGCAAGATTAAACCATTTAATTTGTACACTTAACAACATTATTAATTAGAAAAATTTCCATGTTTTCATAAGAATAAATACAAATGTGTAGGCAAGCTGCTTTAAACTAAAACAAACTTACTTGGGGGATGATGAGACACTTGTTCCGCTATAAAAGAAAGATTATTGCCACTTGCCCATGGTAAAGGACCATCTTCTACCAGTTCCTGTAATATATAATGTGCAATTAGTTTAATACAATAAACTCCACTTGTAACAATATTCAGGGTACCGCCAAATTTATACAAATTTATATCGTTTTTCCAGATTTTGTTATATCCAAGAGGCAACTTAATACAATAAAAAAAAAACTTCGCTTATAACGATATTCAGGGGACCACCAATTTTAAATAATTATTTCCTGATTATCGTTATATTCGAGTGGCAACAATTTTAAAACAAATCGGAAGACTCAAAACCACTGCAACAGCAACGTTATAAGTGGAGTTTACAGTACATAGCAGAGATCCTGGGTAGAACAAGGTCTGTGCTACTCGGCTAATATTTTATCTAGACAAATTGGATATTCAAATGGTAATAAACCCATTATCATGATGATTAACAGGATCCATCTAAGCCCTTTCTTAATGTAATTTACCATCAAAGGAAAATACACCAGATTTTAGTGTAAAATTTAAATCCTGTCTGTGTACAAACTGTACTTTACCCAGTCATGTTTTAATCATGCCTTGTATTGCAATTGTGAAAATGGCAAAGTTCTACAGAAGAAACAATTATATAGTCTAGTCTGTAATTTCAATAAAAAAGCATAATTTTGCACAAAGTTATTGTAAAAAATACTGTATAACCTTTATTATACCTCTGTTTTCTCATAGCCCGGGACATTCCAGTAACATTTAAAAGTTTCCCCTAGTATAGGATTGTAAGGTTTTTTGGCAATATCTGAGTTTCTACTGGCATGGAAGGCTGACATATACCATCTAACTAATTGTACCATCCTCTCCTTCGGGGTCTGTAAATCTGGTACTCTGAAATGTGTCATATACATAAATTATATGAACAAGAAAGGTCAATATGACAAATTTATCAAACTTTAATATTAATACTCCTCAAGGGAATAGTCTATGGTTTTATTGATATAAATGTTGTAAAATGTTAATAAATCCTTAATGTGAATGAATAAAAAAAACAAATGGATATTTTCCCACAGAGATTAGGGATAAGGAAAAAATTAAAAAATTTCCAGTGTAACCTACTGGATACCACACAATTATAAAATGAGAATGTTAATGATATGCAAATAGTCCTCAAAAAAAAAAAAGAAAAAAAGATCAGGATAAATTTTTTGTAAGGTTTGGTAAGCAGATGCAAATAAATTTTTTTAAATAAGTGCCCGTTTGTGCTCTTAACTTTAAGCCAGCTGAATTTATTGTATGCTGCTGAATTTGTTTTATGCTGTGAATTGGTGAAATGCTGCTGAATTTGTGTAATGCTGCTGGTGCAATGGACTTTCCCAGCCTGTACATATTATTCCGAACAGAAAGTCGTTAACCTTTGCCACCAGTATAGCCTATAGGGCCACTGCCTTATCCATCGAAATGTTGATGTATAAATCCCTTACATTAACAATGAATTGTTTCAGATTAAAAACAGGATAAATTCTTGCTACTTGAACACATGGTAGGGGCTAAATCCAAATAAACATATTAAAATAACTTACTTTAAGAATAAATCCGCATGAGCAAAGAATTCAGCATACATCTCTAGTAAAGACTTTCTTTCCAATATAAACGTGGGTAGAACAACTTTGGTAAGGTCCATACCAATACGTACTTGAGACAATAAATGAGTTATTATGCTTCCATGTTTCTCCAATGACCCCACTGAAATGTTTGTAATCATTTCATCAAAATTAAAATCACTTTAATTGTTGCTCAGAGATTGAAAATTATTTTCAGAGCCATTCATCCTGCAGGATGGAGTATAGCTGCTAATTCTACTAACAAGTTACAACATTCTACTATAGTCCTGAAACAAAACATGATAAATTTACCCATAAATACTAACTGATAAGTGTATTTTTTCTATCTCTGTTGCTTTATGTAACTATGTGATTTGACCATAAAAATATTGTGTAAACAAAGGACATCCAAAGGAGAGTCCAAACATGGATTTTTCAGACAACTGGTCTTTATTTGGAGATTTCCATGTTTATTCAATCAATGTTGGTTTGTCAAAGAGTGGTCTTTATTAACAAGGTGATCTTTATTCACAGGTTTTACTGTATATATAAACTATGTTGGTTTACGAACCTTTTTTATCATATAACATTTATAATGAAAAGACAGAACATATATTTTAGAATTGTGGCAGCATTAATACTACAGACACAACTATGTACAAAGGTGACATGTTTATCCTATGACCTGACAGCAAATGAACAGCAAACTAGTAGATGATCATTTGAGCCGCGTCATGACAAAACCAACATAGTGCGTTTGCGACCAGCATGGATCGAGACCAGCCTGCGCATCCGCGCAGTCTGATCAGGATCCATGCTGTTCGCTTGCCAACCCTATTACAAGTAGAGAAACTGATAGCGAACAGCATGGATCCTGATCAGACTGCGCAGGCTGGTCTGGATCCATGCTGGTCGCAAACCCATTATGACGGTTTTGTCATGACGCGGCTCATTTTTATTTATAAGCTCTGTCAGAAAAAAAATTCAATTTTACTTACACCCTTCTTCCTCAGTAGCATCATACAATTCTGAAAGAAACAAAAGTATGTTATCAAAATTAGCAAGGAAAAGCAGTATACAAGTCAATCTAAAAGAGTATACATATGACCTATAACATTTTTATTTATTTCAATAAGCTCCTTAGATCAAGAATAAATACCAGATATTAATAACCTAAACCTAAAACAATTCATTAAAGGTTTTGTTAAGGAGAAAATCATGTCTTTAAACAGGAATGATATAATTTTTATTTAAAATAAAATTATTAATAATTACCATCAGTGTAGTCATCTTGGATAACTGCTACCTGTTGTACTGATGAAGATTTTGTATCTGTACTTTCTGTAGGCTCGGAACCAGGCTCAACACTTTCTAAAGATTGTGTTTTACTTGCCTCAAGTCCCTGTTCCTCAGGTAATTGTTTTAACTTATTCTTCTTACTGCAATACAAGAGCGATCAGTAATCACATGTGTCGCCTCATGATGGCCAAATTCATGTTGGGACAACTTTTGTGACAGACAGACGGACAGTGCACAACTAGACTTGGTACTGATCATTCCTGTAAAGTTTGGATAAAATTGCACCAGTAGACTAGTTTATGAGGAGTAGTCCGGACAAGCTTTTGCGTATCTGGCAACACAAAGAAAAAAACACCTTTTTATCAAAGGGCCATAACTCGGCCAAAAATCATTCAACCGGAAAACCCGTGCAATATGCGCAAGGACTTGAGCTACAGATCAATCCTGTAAAGTTTCATTGAAATTGCATTAGTGGTATAAGAGAAGTAGTCCGGACAAACTTTAAAATTAAAAATTATTAAAGGGCCATAACTCTGACAAAAATCATTGAACCAAAAAATGCTGACAATATGCACAACTAGACTTGGTACTGATCATTCCTGTAAAGTTTGGATGAAATTGCACCAGTAGTTTATGAGGAGTAGTCCGGACAAGCTTTTGTGTATCTGGCAACACACAGAAAAAAACACCTTTTTGTCAAAGGGCCATAACTCGGCCAAAAATCATTCATACGGAAAACCCGTGCAATATGCGCAAGGACTTGAGCTACAGATCAATCCTGTAAAGTTTCATTGAAATTGCATTAGTGGTATAAGAGAAGTAGTCCGGACAAACTTTAAAATTAAAAATTATTAAAGGGCCATAACTCTGACAAAAATCATTGAACCGGAAAATGCTGACAATATGCACAACTAGACTTGGTACTGATCATTCCTGTAAAGTTTGGATGAAATTGCACCAGTAGTTTATGAGCAGTAGTCCGGACAAGTTTTGTGACGGACGGACGGACAGACAGACAGACAGACGGACAGACAGACGACGGAGAAGTGATCCCTATATGTCGCCACTACTCCGTAGAGGCGACACAAAAATTATCGAGGGTTGATCCCAAAACTGTTGTAAGTCCTTCTTTATTTCATATAAGTTACTGGAGTTTGAGGTTAACCCTCATTAAAAGAATTGTATGTTACATTGAATTGTCATTGATTCTTTTTTAGTTGAGTTTTAAGTCACACCAACACAGTATAGGTCATATGGCAACTTTCTAGCTTTACTGTTGAAGGTAGACCTCAGGTACCACTATGCACTATTTCAGGCACAAGCAGGCACCAGAGAAGAACCACAAACGTTCAGTAAGCTACCTGGATAGCTTTTTCACATGAAAGAATACAAGGTCCCTGGCATGATTTAAACCAACAGTGGTGAGGGGCAAGTGGTTTGAAGTCAGCAACCATAACCGCTAGGCCACAGGCACTCCTAAATCATCATTGAAAATAACAGTTTGGATACCTCATAGTTTAATAGACCTTAGCTTCTAACATGAAGGCATCCTAACAGAAGAAAGAACTCTTTTTCTACTCAACAAAAGACGTTTTTTTCTTCTAAAGTTACGATATCTAAAACTTCTTTATGTGATTCCATTTTCTACATACATTCAAAGTAAAGCAATAAGCACCAATACATTAACTGGCTAAAATTTGCCCAAATACTACACTAAACTTACTCTGGACTATTTTTAGGTGTTTTTTGTGTCTCTTCTTCTGCATCATAGAAGTCCTCGTCTTCACTGCTAGAGTAAGAAGTTGCTGGAACAGATGGCTCCGTCTCCGGTAAATCATCGCCATTCTCTGTAACAAGATTTTCCAATGTTATCACTCAGGGCTGCGTTTCATAGAAAGTCCTAAGTGTATCCTTAGTCTTAGGACATAAAACCAACATTAGGACTAACTTTAGACCGTTTCAATGAACATTTTTAGCTTCAGTCAAATACTGTAGACTATAAATTAATTCATTCTCCTAAGGAAAGTTAAGAAATGACAGATCCTTTTATTCGCAATGTGTAAATGTCCGTCAGCATTGCTATTTAGAAATAAAAGGTCCAAACATAGGAGTAACAAGTTAGGACCTTCTCCTTTGAAACGCAAAATTGTCTCAGTTGTGGTCTTAAGACTGATATCAGGAAGTAACACAGCCCAGGCTTAATAGGATTCATATTAAATACACGTTTTTTTTTCTTTTTAATGCACTAGATAACTAGAGAAAATAAATATTGTTGAAACTATTGTTGTAATAAAGAGACATAGTTATATTCAATAAGTTTATGTTGTCTACAAAAACTACAGTGGAACCTGTCTAATCCGAACTCGTCCGGACCAGAAGAAAAGTTCGGATTAGAAAGGTTTCTGGATTAGAAAGGTTTCCGAATTAGAGGGTTTATTAACATGTTTTTTTTCATGTTATGTGCAAAATAGTTCAAGGAATGAAAACGGGAATGCATTTGAAATTGCAATTTAGATATTTTATTTTTGCAGTCTCTTATCGTTCATTTTAATACATGTGAATACAAAAATAAAGAATTAAAAATAAATAAAAAAGCAAAAATATTATGTCCTCAAGGGTAAGTTAACCTACGATGTTAAACAGGAGGCTGAGACATGATTAGATATTCGTATCAGCATTTGTCAATTGTTGTTTACTCTTATCTGATTCAGCGACTTTCCGAATCCACTGACAGTTTCCATTAATTTTCATAACTTAATCACGCATCATTGAATCCAATACAAAGGATTAAAAGATATTTCTATTGCATTATATCAAAATATTTATAGAAGCTGACGAAAAACAATCAATTAAGCAATTATAGAAGATATCAAGGCAAGCTTAGTGTAATTTTCACACCTTCGCAGATCATACGTTACACCCATTTATCAAGCGAAAAAACACTTATCAGTTTCGTGTATTATAACACCTGCAAGATGTGCGATTATTTGTTATTTTGAATGAAGGTGTGACATTCGGCAAAATCTGTTCGGATCCTAGAGGTAAATTTTAGAGTAAAATAAGAACAAAAGTTGAAAAAATCGTCCGGAATTCGGAGTAGACAGGTTCCGGATCTGAAAGGTTTTGGATCTGAAAGGTTTTTTACTATTGAAAATAGAATGAATACAATCGGGGCCGGAAACTACGTTCGGATTAGAAAGGATTCCGGATAAGAAGGGTTCGGATTAGCAAGGCTTCACTGTATCATCATTTATGGTATGGTCTGACTCAATTATACAAAATGTTGGGTTCTTAAAATAATGTTTCCCATCCAATATACAATTAGAACATACATGTATTTTTAATTTAGCTTTTGACTGTAACACACTATACAACAATTTTCAAATAAATTAATGGCAATTGGGCAAGATATATTCTCAAAGAGCACAGAAAAGCCAATTAGAGATTTTAATCATGTAATCACATCCCGATCTTCTTTCAAATTATTGCTGTAACGTTGTTTAAGCCATACCTGGGGTTATTCCTCCCATGGATTCATGGTTCAAGTCACCATTAAGAATTGCAGGCTCGTTGATGTCTGGTGTTGTACTCCTACTTGTAGATCCTAAAAAACATGACATCAAAAATTAACAATTAACCTTTTGCCTACTGGTCGCCACAGATTCTACCCATGCTACTAGTGCAGGCCAAAATCAGTCATCACATCTGTGTCGTCTTATCATGTTCTGCACCGTTCGCATTTATGGTCTGTCCATCAGTACAATTTAGATATTTTCCCTTAATATGAGAAATGGTTTTGTCCAGATTGAAAGATGGACAAGTTCATGTGGTAAAGGTTAATGTACTCCATCCAAAAAAAAGTTCATATACACTCAAGCTTACTTTCATCACTTTCTATATTGTAATATTCATTTGGTAGGTATTGAACTGACAGGATCTCAGAAGGCTCTTAGTCAAGCAAAAGCTTGTTTTGATTGTTTAAACCGATCATGCAGAAGCTTGTAGTACCAAAAGAATGATGAAATATGAAGAATTTTTGAAGAGTTTATTACTGGTTGAAATATGTTAAAACAGTGACTTAGATACCTATATTTGAGCAATGAACTTGACTATCCTACAGACAAGGAAAATATACCTGTTTTTTTTTTGCCATTTAAAGATTGTGTATGTTGTAATTAAGGTTGTTACAACACTTTTATATATGTATATAACTATGCTTCTAATTTTCAAACATCGAAGAATATGTAAAATATGTACTGCAAATATTTGTCCACATTATATGTAATCATTAAAATATGTGCATTCATTTCTTATTGAAAAATTTGACTTAGACTTTATAGAAAATAAATTTCTAATTACCTCCCTTTATTAACATGAAAATGTAAATTAGGTAATATCTTTACAAATAATGCTTTTTGGAACTTACAATATTTATAAATCTTCATTTGAACATTATATTTATGATAAAAAACCATAAAAAATTGAGTTATAGGATCTTTAAGGGCGTATTTAAGTTCTGTGCAAGTTTTTCAAACAAATAAGAAATGAATCTGCCACAGAACAGAATCATATTTATTGTAAATGTATACCCTCATATCTAAACACATGAATAAATAATATTAGGCAGTCAAAAAAAAGTCACAGAGAAGTACACAAAATCAGGTGAGCTAAACATGTATTTGTAATAAATAGAAATTAATGTGTAAGTTAATAATCCCAGCCCTAGTATATACACTGTACCCATGCAGAAGGAAGAAAATAGTAAACTACGATTTAAGACCGTTTTGAACAAGTCTAAGACAAATTATTCACATTCGTATGTTGCATTTCATCATCATCATCATCAAAAATTTAAAATTTTGATGGTTCTAACTTCTACCTGTGTCAAGGCCCATGAGATAATATAGACATCAGTGCTGACAAACCCTATGTAATAAGTAGATATAAAGATCTCATATTTAAGGTAAACAAGAGCTGTCAGTAGGACAGCAACGCTCGACTATTCTTAGTGCTTGATAGTAAAAAAAAATGCTTGATACAGTTACCTCCTCCTGTTTACAGGTTGGGGTCATGATGGTGAACAAGTGTGCAAAGTTTCAAAGCCATATGTCAATGGACTTTGAAAATATTTGAACTATTACAAAAACTTTAACTTAAATTCTAAGTCGAAAAAGGGGCATAATTCTGTCAAAATGCTTGATAGAGTTACCTCCTCCTGTCTACAGGTTGGGGTCATGATGGTGAACAAGTGTGCAAAGTTTCAAAGCCATATGTCAATGGACTTTGAAAATATTTGAACTATTACAAAAACTTTAACGTAAATTCTAAGTCGAAAAAGGGGCATAATTCTGTCAAAATGCTTGATAGAGTTACCTCCTCCTGTCTACAGGTTGGGGTCATGATGGTGAACAAGTGTGCAAAGTTTCAAAGCCATATGTCTATGGACTTCAAAAATATTTGAACTATTACAAAAACTTTAACATAAGTGGTTACGCCGACGCCGACGCTCGGGTGACTGCAATAGCTCTACTTATTCTTATCGAATAGTCGAGCTAAAAAATAGTCTTACCAATAGGTTGAGCACCACTACTGTAATAATCAAAGTCTGCTCCCATGGTAAGTACTGGTTCATGCATGGTACCATTTAGTAATGGTTCTTTTAATGTTTCCTGAAAACATACAATATATAATTGTGACATAGTTCTATAAACTTGTATATATCAGTCGAAACTGGAACAAACAAACAGGTCAACACAGTAAAGAAAGTCAAAATTTAAGATGTAACAGACTCTGTTTCATAAAACACTTGTCATGTCCTGCAGCAGTATCATTCTGCAAGCTTCTGTCTACAACCCCCTGGTACCTCATAAACAAGTACACAAAGATTCTTTAGGAAAATACCCGATAAAATTACCTTAGAAATTTGTAGCATTACGATGGAATGTTTTATTGCTTCAATCATAGCATTAGCAGTGACTTTAATAACATTATATTTCTCTTTCTCCCCGACATCTTCACACGCCTCAATACGTTTCTCGAGACTCTCAACCTGGTTTATCAGAAGCTGGAGGTAGGCGTCGGTCTCGGCTAATTTCCGGTCAAAATCTGCCGCACTAGGAACACCAGCCTGCTGGCCCTGGATTCACAACATTTTATGTAACAATTATATGTGAAGGTGTTACCGTATTTTGAAAATAATATTAATTCTTTTGTTTTTACTTTATTTATATCGTATTACATTTAATTTTATCTATCTGCAATATTTCTATAAATGACATACTTTGAGACAACAAATATTTAACTGGAACATTATATTCATCACATCCCCAGATCTCTGTTATCAAGTTGCGTATGATTCTTTCCAAATTGTATTATTCAAACCTGAATTGATGCTAAATATTAAAACATACAATGCTATTTTGTCATTAATACCTGCTACATTCTAATCATCATTCAAACAATATACATGTAATTTATCACAGTGAAATATCAACCAATATCAAAACAGGAATCTGTAATTTATCACAGTGAAATATCTACCAATACCAAAACAAGAAATGGTATTTTATCACAGTGAAATATCAACCAATACCAAAACAAGAAATGGTATTTTATCACAGTGAAATATCAACCAATACCAAAACAAGAAATGGTATTTTATCACAGTGAAATATCAACCAATACCAAAACAAGAAATGGTATTTTATCACAGTGAAATATCAACCAATACCATAACAAGAAATGGTATTTTATCACAGAGAAATATCAACCAATACCAAAACAAGAAATGGTATTTTATCACAGTGTAATATCAACCAATACCAAAACAAGAAATGGTATTTTATCACAGAGAAATATCAACCAATACCAAAACAAGAAATGGTATTTTATCACAGTGAAATATCAACCAATACCAAAACAAGAAATGGTATTTTATCACAGAGAAATATCAACCAATACCAAAACAAGAAATAGTATTTTATCACAGAGAAATATCAACCAATACCAAAACAAGAAATGGTATTTTATCACAGTGAAATATCAACCAATACCAAAACAAGAAATGGTATTTTATCACAGAGAAATATCAACCAATACCAAAACAAGAAATAGTATTTTATCACAGTGAAATATCAACTAATACCAAAATACGAATCTGTAATTTATCACAGTGAAATATGTACAATTACAAAACAAGGCAGTAAAATACACTAGATGGGACAAATTTACACTAACGTTATATTTGTATATTACCCTAAATGAAGAATGCCTGGTATGTCTAACTATTGTGTTCTCTAATGCTTCTATCCACTGTTCTCTTTCTTCTGCATCTCGTGCTGGTAAAAATCAAAATCTCGTAATAAATAATTATTAGTACATGCTGTCACCTTAGTGCAATATCTGATTAACTCCTATTAAATTTACAAGGACTTAACCCGTAACTGCACTGAGGTGCTTAAAAATGAGCATATTGTCATAAAAATTACTTAGTCTAACTTAAGAAGACCTAAATACTTAGTAATTTTTTGAGCAACAAAGAGAGAATGTTCTCGTTGAATTTCATATACACACTTGATAACAATGGCAGGAACTGTCAAGTATTTACTACTTGTTTTCTACTTCAATTACTGTCCTTATTGTGTGTTGTACAATTGTACATGTAAATTTGAACAATTTACTGATTAGATAAAGTTTATATGAACTAGAATAAAAAAAAAAATTAAAAAAAATTACAATGGTATTTCATAACATCAAAAATTTATTAGCAAAACTGGTCCAACCTTGGAAATGGAATGTTTTATGATCCACGGTGATTGTAAATGTACTGTCATCCTCATCATCTATTCCAATAACTGCTCCCTATAATAAATAATAACATATTTTCATTTCATTTATTTTATTTTTTTTATAAATGAGTCAATTTGATGAGGTATAAGAAAATTTAATATATCGAGGGCTCAACGCGAAACTAGTCTATGTGCATTTTTTAAAAATGTTCAGGAGAAGGAAAAAACTTTCTCATTCATTACATTTTCAGAATTTTTCAATATAATATAGATATAGTATGTATTTAAGAGAACTTCAACCATACTTATTTCAGTTTTGATAATCTGTTCATTAAAAATGATGTTTTAGTAAGAAATGTCACATAGAATAGTTTCGCGCCAGAATATTGTCATATATGGCTTAAAGATTGAATGCGAAACTATTCTATGTGATTTTATTAAAAAAGCACACTAGTGCATCAGGGTATGTTATAATAACAATATATGATAGAAAAACAGTTTTTTAATGATCTGATGAAAAATTCACATAGACTAGTTTCGCTCTGAATTTTGTGAAAAAATTGACAAGAAATTTTGTGCGAAACTAGTCTAAGTGATATTTAGGATATGAATGTATGGCAATTAAATGTTTATTTCTCTCTTTTTTTTCTATTTCTATAAAGTTATATCAATTAAAACATACAGAGCTTTGAAAATGTTCATGTTATATCAATTTTTTAGCAAATTGATTTAATATTTTATTATGCATTTTTGTGCTTTCATTTAGAGATACAGTCGGTAGAAATGAAATTCAGTTCAGGCTTGAAAAGAATTATTTTATAATTTGATTAATGTTAATTAAACTCATACAGTGCAAACAATAGAAACATTACTTATATTTTATATAATATCTGCACATAGAAATCAGTATTAATTACATGACTTGGTTTCACAAACTACTGTTTAAAAATTCTTAATAGGATGTGACAAATGTTATCCTTACTCCTACAATATGACAATTTTTCTTCTTACTTACAAGCAGACAAGACAAATGCAAGTCGTCTTCAAATATTTTTTTAAATACAAAGGTAATTTAGTAAAGGACCATCCCCTTCTTCCCCCACTCCTCTCCCAGACAGCAATGGCTGCCATCTTAAAATGACGCAGTTCACAGAAGCCTGTTAACCAGTCTTTGATGAATCTGTGCACCATACCATGTCATTCAGCTCACTTTTGATGAAGAAAGAAATTTTATTTTGCTATATAGAATTTCTATCAAATGAGGGAACATAACTAATAGAGTTTCGAAGTTGAAAAGGGGCATTCCTCCTAAAAATTTTGCTTGCAGGATAATGCTTCTTTCTTTTGATATGATATGCAAGTGTTCCAAGTTTCATATTGAAACCTTAGATGGTCTTTAAATCATTAAACTTAATGAGCAATTTTAATAAAAACTGTATGTTAAAAAGGGGCATCTGACACCAAATACAAATGTATATAGCTTTTAGATTAATGCCCCTTGTGTCACAATGGAATCTTGCATTGATAAGCAAATATTCAAAGTTTCAAACTTTTAAATTGTTTGCAAGATTTTTCACATTCCCAACAATAACAAGATCGACTCAGCCACTATTACAGCTCGACATTTTTCATTTGAAACATAAGACCTAAGAATGAAAAGCTGTCAACCCACTGTGCCATTTAAAATTTCGTTTTAATGCATACATCTAGGACTAGGCATATCACAATGCAACAAATCATCGATGAATCTTGCATTTCTAATCTTGGGGAGATGTAACCCAAATAAATAATGTATCCTATCTGCTTTGGACTAGAGGAAAGAACATGATAGTTCTTCAAACCAGAAACAAATGTACATGTGTTTATGTACATGTAATGTACATGTAATGTACATGTACATGTACATCAAAACATTGATTTGCTATGATGTTAAAATTAATTCAGAAATAGAAAACTGCTGAAATATCATGATTTTATGGATCTTGTCACTTAAGTGAATATCCCCCTCTCCTAGCAATATCAGAAACAAAATCACAGCATTGACCTGACAAAACTCATTTCCGCAACTATGTCAGGCCCTTCTCGCATATGGGTGAAGAAGCTTTAACAAGAAAGTTTCTTGGATAATGGTATGCACGTATTATTCAAACTGATATGATAAGCAAATTAATATTAATGGAACTCATGTTCCCAAAGATGAAATACTTTCAAAGGCAAACTAGTGGCAAGAATTTATGGAAGCAATACGTAATTAGGTTAGTTAACTGTGTTTTGCATGACTATGTGTTAAAATTTTTAACATATACCATGCAAGTTTTATATAATTTGTCATTTACTTTTGCGACCAAAAATTTCATTCATGAGTTAGGTAATATTTGTATGATACTCAATCAATATCTTTAACATTCTGTCCAGTAAGTTGTTGGACTGTGTACCCAGTTCAAGAGGATGGAGTCATTTTGATTTGCCCTTGCTTGTTATGCTGTCCGCTGTCATGTCAGACTTCCTTACACTGAGAAAAAAGTGGAATATGGCTAAAATTGCACACATTTCTAGTTATTTCAAGGTTAATCGGATGAAAAATATCTTGAATACAAATCAAAAGGCAATTTCAGTCAAGCATTTGATTTATTATGGAGGGGTGTTGGTTCTATTCTCAGGCTGAGTGAAATTTCTGTGTGACATGATCTCAGATATTAAGTTTAATGTTCATTTTTGCGACGGACGTGCCCTTAGGCACGTTTAGAGCTATGTCATCTACACATGGGATTTCGTCGGTTACAAACGCGCAAGTGTCCTCAACCGAATAACAGCCCAAAAAATAGTACAAAAATTTGATCCTATGAAACTCCCATACTTTGTTGGGATATCTTAAAAACTTCCATATTTAGCCTTTTCAATTTCAAATTTAGTTATCCAAGTTAAAATATGAATGTATTTGATGGATAAAATGTGTAGCCCCCGTAGTATTATTGGGCAATATGCAAATAACTGCTGAAACGATTTACCGCTGTCGAAAAAGTAGGACAGCAAATTATGCTATAATTAAGGAGTAAGCTCAATAATTCATAGAAATTATTAGTAGGAAATAAATATTTCTCCACTAAACATTTTTATGAACAGATCAAAAGTTTTTCGTTAAGTTATTCAGGAAATTTGGTATGTGGACTGACGGACAAACACTGAAAATAACTCAAATTTGTTGTTTCCATAAATTCTTAACACTAGTTTGCAGTTTGCTTAGTTAAAATAAATCATAATTAAAGAAATATAATGCCTGAATTGAACAAATTTTAAAAATTATTCAATATTAATTCAAACAAAATTTCAATGCAAGCCATTACCAACTAAATTGTGTGATTTGGAATAATTTTTTAAGGTTGTTTTACTATTTTTAATGATCTGAATTAATGTACCTATTGAAATAATGCAAGTGTTATAATAGAAAAATTGATATAAATTTCTTCACATAGGCTACTTGACTTAAAAAGAGATGTTAATATTTATGCGAAACTAGCCTATGTGCAAATTTTTTGCAGATAGACTAGTTTCGCATTGAGCAAATATAGCCTTTTGAGATACAATAGTATGGCAAATATGTTTTGTGTCCTTAACTATGCACAGGAAAAGGAAGATTTTAACACATAATGTGAGGACTATATAGACTTTTCAGAATCTGTAAAAAAGACCTTTTATGAAAAAATGTCACATAGACTACTTTCGCGTTGACCCCTCGATATGTTCTTAATAGACCAGAACAGAACAACAGTTTTATTCATGACTTGTACAATAAGTACATCATCACATATACAAATATATACAATTTACAATATCCAATATGCATAATGTAACATGGAATTTAAAATATTTACATTTCACATCAATTATCTTATGAGGATGAACTACAAGTAATTATAAGTAAATGTAGTTCTAAGAGATAAGGAATTTTAGATATACAAAGCTAAATTTTTCAAGAGCAATTTGTTTGTTGTATTTAAAAGATATAACAACTTATGTATGCTAGGTCTAACATTGTAAGATTAACATGTACCATAATCCGATAAGATATTCAGCTAGTCTTCTAATAAAAATAATGACTTTGCAGAGTAGTTTGAAAATGTGTAAATAAAAATGACCTGAATAAATAAATTGATTTAAGTACCTTATAAAAATTTATATGTAAAATAAAATCTATTAAAGTAAAAGTTACCTTCAGTCGTACACATCCTCTTCTTGACCCTCGTTTCATTTTATCTTTAGACTGAAACACGAACACTCAAATGATAATTTGCAAATTGTGTGCTATATGTTTTAAAGTCATTCAATTTCATTATATCTTTAAACACCTAAGATTTTACACATTTAAGACCTATTATTTTAAAGTAGGCTGCCTATAATGCTATATACTTTACATGCATTATTAATAAATCTTCTTTCTGTTATTGTTACAGTAAATTTTTGTTACGTAATTTATTTGATCTAAAGTGATGCAGGGTATGTATAAACTAGAAATGTGTCCATAGGACATGGATGCCCCCACACGCCACTGTTCTGTCAATCTTATGACTCTAGGTCAAATATTTTTTGGACTACATGTGCCACAAGTTGAAAACTAAAAATCAACAAAGGGCCATAATTCTGTTAAATTTGGTCGCAGCAAAATTCCTTCCTTTACTACCATCTACACATTAAGGTTGTTAATCCCTGGAAGTTTAAGCAAAATCTGCCATCCGGTTTAAGAGGAGTTGCAGTCACAAAATTTCTACATAGTATATAATGAAAAAATCAACAAAGGGCCATAATTCTGTTAAATTTGGTGGCAGCGAAAATTCCTTCCTTTACTACCATCTACACATTAAGGTTGTTCATCCCTGTAAGTTTAAGCAAAATCTGCCATCCGGTTTAAGAGGAGTTGCATTCACAAAATTTCTACATAGTATATAGTGAAACAAGAGCTGTCCGTAAGACAGCGCGCTCGACTTTTTTATTGCTTGCCAATAAAAAAAGTTTTTGCAGTAAAAGGCAATACAAGAATCTCTGTATTTTTAAAGTGAACAATGGCCATGAGCATTAAGATATTTAGTGAAGAATTATTTTATTATGACATAATTTATGGTAAAGTGAACAAGTGGATAGGAATGAATTTTTTTAGATTTTTTAAGTTTTTTAGTGCTTGCCTATAATACAAAACATTGACAGTTAAGGGCCATAATTCAAATAAAATCTTTGACAGAATTACCTTCTCCTGGACATGTTTGGGAATCATGATTGTAAACAAGTATTCCAACTTTCAAATTAATATCTCAAACAGTTCAGTCAAAAAGTGGACTGGTACTAAAAACTTAACCAAGATTCTAAGTCGATAAAAGGCCTTAATTTTTAAAACAAATCCTTGACAGAGTTACCTTCTCTTGCGTACAGATGGGGGTAATGATGTGAAATAGCATTAAAAGTTTCAAAGCAATATCTCAAAGGGTTAAGGCAATAAGTGGATTTTACCCATATTCAATGTATTTTCTAAGTCAAAAAGGGGCATAATTCTGTCAAAAACCTTGACAGAGTTATGTACTCTTGTCTGTAGATGGAGGTTATGATGGTGAACAAGTATGGTAAGTTTCAAAGCCATACTTGTAATACTTCTGAAATAAAGTGGGTGGTACGAAAAACTTAACCAAGCTCAATACACTTTCTAAGTCAAAAAAGGGCCATAATTCTGTCAAAAACCTTGACAGAGTTATGTACTCTTGTCTGTAGATGGAGGTTATGATGGTGAACAAGTATGGTAAGTTTCAAAGCCATACTTGTAATACTTCTGAAATAAAGTGGGGTGGTACGAAAAACTTAACCAAGGTGTGACGCCAACGCTAACGCCGACGCCGACGCCGGGGCGAGTAGGATAGCTCCCCTTTTCATAGAAAAGTCGAGCTAAAAATCAACAAAGGGCCATAATTCTCTTAAATTTGGTCGCAGCAAAATTCCTTCCTTTACTACCATCTACATATTAAGGTTGTTCATCCCTGGAAGTTTAAGCAAAATCTGCCATCCGGTTTAAGAGGAGTTGCATTCACAAAATTTCTACATAGTATATAGTGAAAAAATCAACAAAGGGCCATAATTCTGTAAAATTTGGTCGCAGCGAAATTCTTTCCTTTACTACCATCTACACATTAAGGTTGTTCATCCCTGTAAGTTTAAGCAAAATCTGCCATCCGGTTTAAAAGGAGTTGCGTTCACAAAATTTCTACATAGTATATAGTGAAAAAATCAACAAAGGGCCATAATTCTCTTAAATTTGGTCGCAGCAAAAATTCCTTCCTTTATTGCCATCTACACATTAAGGTTGTTCATCCCTGTAATTTTAAGCAAAATCTGCCATCCGGTTTAAGAGGAGTTGCGTTCACAAAATTTCTACATAGTATCTAGTGAAAAAATCAACAAAGGGCCATAATTCTGTTAAATTTGGTCGCAGCGAAATTCCTTCTCTTACTACCATCTACACATTAAGGTTGTTCATCCCTGTAAGTTTAAGCAAAATCTGCCATCCGGTTTAAGAGGAGTTGCGTTCACAAGATTTCGGGACGTACGGACGGACTGACTGACGGACGGACTGACGGACGGACAAATGCAACGCTATATGCTCCCACATTGTGGGGGCATAAAAAAGATGTTTTAATTCATGCTGATTAAAAGTATTTTCTTACAAAACTATGGGAAATTGTACAACTGAACAAAAGACACTTTTAATATACCGCGTAGACATTTTTTAAATTCCATGTTTACATTTGTAGATAAAGAAAAATAGTTATTTGGAACAGCATTATTTTTCTCTTTTTTTTCTTTTTTTTTTGAATAAAATCAAATATTTCAAAGCAAATTCTCTCATTTTTTTCCTCTTCTTTTTAAAAGAAAAACAACAAAAAAAACTTGGTGCCTTTTTTTGTTTTAAACATATTAAATTGGCATGTAATTTCAATTTCATAATTAGGTGTTTGACTCTTACTTATTTGCATAATCAAAGATTTCGGGTTGGTGGTAATGCAATATCCTGTACAAACTACAGTGTTAAGCCTTATAATGTGATACCTCAATGAAACAGTGGCAGGTAAATGCAAACAAAACTTTATGTCACGATTTACATATATACAAACTTGGACAAAATTTTTACATCCAAAACGAGACATTTTCAGATTTATAGGTATGTTTCTGGCAAAAATATTACATTTTGTATGGCAGCTGCGACATAGTATTAATTTATATAATTAGACAAGCAACTTCCTATTGGATTTATATATATAAGCAGTCTTATGTTTGCGTCTGACAGCTGATCAATCTTAGTTGAATTTTCATAACATCATGTTAATTCTACTCAAAAAGACTGTAAAAATCTTATACCAGTTTTATTAGCAGGTATATATTCTTTATTATTTTCATTGTTCAATACGGATAAATAATTATTCTTTCACAACAATTGCATACATTGTTGATTGACATTGCGGTCACCAGACTGCGGGCCAGGATATGTTATGTCTTGTGATTGAGACTCTGCAGGCTATTTCATCACACTTTTGAAACAATTCTTGATACTAAGATGTTATCAAATGATCACTATAAATACGGGGAACTTCCGAAGTCACCGGGGCTTTGGTTTGCCTGGCTATAGACTATTCAAAGGGAAATCAAATTAAAAAAAAATAAAAAATTATTGTAACCTAAGTTTCAATGAAATTTTCAGTGTCCATGATAATCGGAGAGGTATTCCAATAACAGAACAATAGCAACTTTTCGGCTTAATAATAATCAACGAGGTGTTGCGATTGGAAACGAAATCAGTGAATGAGATACCGAATGACAAAGGTCTTAAAAACGAAAAATGTAAAAAAAATAAAAATGAACTGACTTCCCCGTTCATAGGCTTTGTCTACTTTCATATTTGGGCATTATGTAATAAACAGGTTAAGGATTGTCATTTTTTTAACAAATTAACAAAAATTTCATTGTAAAAAATGCTTTAATGTGAAATTTCATTCTATGTTTATGCAAAATTTGTGGGTGGGGAATGGTTATTTTCGGTAATCTAGTGACTTGTGTGAACTTTAGCTACATTTTGTAAATATTTTGAAATACACACTGTGTAATATGAGAGTAAACCAGCATTGTCATCTAAGACAAACCAGCGATACTGCCAGCCTTTGACTACATTTGTCCATTTACTTAGTGGACCTTCCATTACTGCCATGTTTGCGGAAGTGAAACCTCCTCTTGCTGGAGAACCAATCAAATTGTCCGTTACATAACTAAGCCAATCACGCACTAGCGGACTATTTGAAATTGTCAACATTGGATTTGCAGGTGCGTGTTTAATGAACGAGAGCAAACTTTAGCAGTTTAGTGACAAAAACAAAACATGACTAGAAAAATTTAAAAAAGTGCTACGATTTATGTGAAAGATTATGGACGATCAACTTACTTCAGGGCCATATAGGGCAACGTTGTTGGTAAGATTATTCACCAGTTTCTTTAATTATTCTTACGAGCTACTGTAATCAGTTAATTTATCAAAGTTTTTTTCTTTTGTAAAAAAAGACATAATGCATAAATTTTAAGAAAGAAATTGTTCTTCATATTTGATGTTCTTTTCTCCAGAATAGAGATGTGATTGACAACTGTTAATTTTTGTTGTTTTAATTTTTTTATTTGTTTGGTCAGAATTTATGTAGATCTAATGATGAAATTCATGAATTATTATTCACTTACTGGTCTGGCCACTGACAGGGACTAGTCAAAATATATTGACGTGCCAAAGCTTGATTCTGAGATATTTTCGTTCTGGGGCAGAATCTCTCTTTTGTAGAGGCGAGATATTGCCCAGACACGAAAATAGCACAATATCTCGTCGTGCAGTACAATTATAGTTGGACTATGACAGGGACCATCCTGACTGGCCACTTTTTGAACAGACTGTGAATCAGGCAACCTGCATTTATTCCTGAACAGTGCAGGTCACTGGTCACTTATCTTGTGCTTGATCGTGAAGTCTTTTATATTGGTCATACTGTACTGCTCTGGCATACAGTACATGTATTACAGAAGAAACAAACTAGTGTCATGTGGTCGTCTTATTCGTTTTTTCTTCTTCGTTACAAATATCGTTTTTATGTAATGTTGTGTCCTTGTATATGTATTTGTATATATCTCTTGTGTATTTGTCTGTTATCTGTTTCCTAGTGAAAATGAAGGCATCTTATGATCTAGTACTTCTAATTAAACTGCTTAACAGATTTCCCAGGATTTATGCAGTTGCTTTCTGCTGTGATCTGGACCAGAGATAGTCCAAATATTTAGACGTAACGGCAGATTTGAAGCTATTTTTTACATTGGTCAAATCCGCATTTTCCGATAAACGTAAAATTGTAAAAAAAGAGAATGCGATGTCTTTCAATGAAGGACTAGACCAGAGAGTGAACTACAAACAGATTCATGTTTGTTCTTTGTCAGAATTTCGCTTCTACATGTAGTACTAAAGTTCTAAAGGGGAATTATTGCTCGTACACAAAATAGCAAGCAAAGTTACTATTAGTTGGACATTGTGGAGGTTGAAATAGAATCTAATCACTGGTGGGATTGAAACCCACAAGATCTTAATTCGAGGTCTAAAATGCTTCCCCTTTACATAGACAAAAATTACAGTGATATGAGTATCTACAAAACATCTTTAATACTTTAAAAGTTAAAACTAGTGGCAGGGTTATATTTTATTATTATGTACTTAAAGATTAGCAATATATTACAGCGTGAGATTATCAATATATTACAGCACGCTTTTGTAATCTATGATGATTACCTTATTTTACAATTTTGTTTTAATCACCATTGCAAGTAAATTAATAGAGTAATCATTCCTCTATTGGAAAAAATCAAGATTTAATATATTCAGTTTTCATTACATTTATTCATTTTCAAATCAAATTAAATTTGATCAACATAATTAAAATTGTTGATTGTGGCATTCTGTTTGCCCTGTCTTGTTTTATATTAGTCACACCTGTAAAGTCTTATTTAGATTTTCAGAGCTTTTTTCCTTTTTTGTGATAGTTCACCAGATTATAAATACCAGGTCTTTGTTCTGTCATCCTAGATAGTGTTTAGGTGCAATTTTTATTACAATATTTTACAATATATTACAATTAATGGCTAGGCAGGTGATGATACCATTTACATGTACAGATTGTACAGTACTTCAATGACACTCTTCAATTCAAACTTATTTACAAAGTACTTGTCATCACTTTCTATAGACCTTGCATTATGAGAGCTCAAACAAATACCGGCTTGAAGTTAAATTGCAATTTATATCAGAAATTATACAGTGTTTGTTATAAATACAAGAATTAACTGTTCACAAACTTTGTGTAAATTTTTTTAGTAACCTTTTGTTTGTTTTATAATATATTGAAATTTAAAAATAACTTTTCCAGCATATTGTGTATAGTAAAATGGTTCAATGTTTTTGCCATTCTTTCTTTTGTATAATAAAAACCATTTAAGCAATTAATTACAAAAAAGAGATAATGCATTATATTCCCCAAATCAAGTATGCTGTAAACATTTAATGCTGTTATAAATAGAAATTAGAAAACTTAAAGGTATTTTATTTCCTTGCAGGAAATGTATATAAGTACTACTTGACTTTAAGTGTAACTGTATAATTAAATAAAGCTATAATAATGAAACATTTTTTGTAAAAAAATTAAAATAAAAACAAAAAATGATGTTTTTATAACCTTATGGTCATGTCTTGAAAGAGTTATAACATTAAATGTCTCTGTTATTTAACTTGCACAAATATTATACATCAACCAAATAAACTGTTACAGAACAAAATAGTATACTTTATTTTAATAAGGGTTTTAACTGTTTTGCAAATTTTGTACATGCAAAACTGGCTTTTAAGGAAATATAATAACATATATTTATATTTCTTTCATTGTCACATTTTAGAAATATCCATTTCAAAAGTTTAAATTTGCAGCAAATATATAGCTTAAAAAATTTAAAATGTATTTTATTTTCTTGTTGCAAATGTATAAAAGTTAAAACTTGACAAAATGCAGTTTGTAGTCTTGTTTTGTTTCTTCTTCAATCTGTCATTCTTTATATTTTCCAGTGGAATGGATTGATAAGAAATTTCCGTTCAGATATTCCACTAGGTCGACACCGACGTTACATGAAGACATATGACGATTGTTTTGTGGCATCTGATGCAGTTGATTGGTTACATCAATATTTAAAGAAGAATCCAAATTTTGGTACAGATGTGTCAAGGTAATGTATTTTAACTGTATAACTTTTAGTATACTCTTACACCAGTAGATATTAAATTCTCACTCAATCATAAATGTCCTGCACTGTGAGTGTGAATTATACATGTTTTCCTCAATTATGTTGCAAGAAACAAAATAACTTCCTTAAGTGGCAGGCATAATTAAAACCTTATTTCCCCTGCAATATTTATGGGGATGAGAGTCAAGGTTTTCATTTCTGATGTATTATCAGTCTGTGGTTATAAGAGGCATAAATGATTTAAGTCAATATTTCAATATATAATTATTTATTTCGACTTTTCAACGATTACAACACATTTATTTCATGCTTTCCAGTGTTTTATTGTAATATATCAGATGATTATATCCTGATAAACCACTAGTGAAATTTATAAAATATAATTTTCACTGTAGCCGGACTATATCTGAATGCGGATGAAAAGAAAATCATAACTAAATGGAATAACAGGCAGAAATAAATGCCGTCATGCGTAAATTTTGCTTCTTTAGGAAAAGAAAGTCGATGTCACTATACATCATGTTGTAAATGTAACAAAATTAGAGAAATTTAACAGAACTATATTTCAAAATTGATGATGTGACGTCATGATATGATGACGTCACAAAGGAGAATGCGCGACGTTACGCGGCAAAATCAGTAAAAATTACTTCAAATCACTTAAAACGCATGAAATAAAAAGAAAATTTATTTGTTTTACATATAAGATTGAAATATATTTCATTCGTGAACACCAGCTATTATATTTTCACTCGTGGCTACGCCACTCCTGAAAATATTGCATCTGGTGTTCACTCAGTGAAATTATATTTCGATCTTACATGCAAAACAAACAAATATCCTCTATATAATCATGACGTATAGCATAAAATATATACAGTTTACAAATCATTAACAATTATAATACATCATTACATGATTTGACAAACATGCATATAATTCAATATTATATTTACCATAATAAGAAGATGCATACTTGTGTTGTGATCTATAAATGTATAAGAGACAATATTTGTTTCTTTTCTCAACATTTTCATATTTTGAAGAAATATTCTCCATTAGATTTAATTTATTGCTTTGCATATCTTTAATACATTATTAAGATTTAATTTGTTACAAAATAATTTTATATACGCATAATACTGTGGTATTTTTCTTTACAAAGTAATTTTTTTGGATAAATTTGGTGTCAGTGCATAGTATTACTGCAGGGTATTGTCAGTTGATCGTAATGATTTTAATCAGCATATTTAACATTTTCTCTGGGACAATGTAAAGTTGAAATTTTATGCTTGATTGAAAATTGTGTAATTTTGACCGCAGCCAAAGAAAAGATTGACATTTTTCCTAAAGATTATTATCTGATTTTGATCTGGAGAAGGGGTTGTAAAGTCTAACAGTAATAATTAGGACATTTTATGCCTTGTAACAAAATAATAACAACATATCAAAGGCTTTTCCTCTCGATAAGTAGGTAATTATGTATGTGTAATTCTATAATAGTATTTCACCTTAGTGAATATATTTTGGTCAGTTTTCAGACCTTGCGTCTCTCCTATTACCTATTACAGTGAATGGTACACATGAATAATTGAAATTAAATCAAGCTGTTGATTTTAATTCTTTAAGAAGGATTAAACACAGATTCTATTCACACTATCCAAAGTAATTATCAAATATCCTGTAGATCTGTGCCAACACTAAAACTTTAAGGTGTTATGAACAGATTGACCTTCTTTTTATTATGTGAAAAACATTTTTCTCCCCAACAGATACTGTGACAAATTAAACACTTCCTGAGAGAGGAACCATCTGTCACTGTAGAATAAAAAAGTTTGCCGATAAATAATTAAGCATAGTTAAAAAAGATGTAGTTACTAAAAAGAGATTAAGCAAATAAAACATGTAAATATCACATAAAAATGTTTAATTATTTATATGACAATGTTATGCAGCCATTTGGAATAAAACTAATTTAATCTTAAAATTAGTTACCAATTAAAAAGTCATAAAAAGGATGAATAGAAAATTAGTTATTACCTTGATGTTAAATTTATAAATACATTTTATATTGGTCGTGGTATAATGTCTAGAGAAGATTTGAATGGTCATTTATTGCAGAATGAGATATTTTGCCAGATTGAGCATTCTTGGCCATTTTAGGTACCTTGTAACCTACAAATTATATTTTTAGCTTTCCAACTCACTTATAATTAATACATTAATTCCGATTTCTGTTTAAATATTGTCTTTTTTTTTAAATTTTCACATATCAGATAGGTCAGTACTGCTTTAACAGACTAAATATACTACAAAATATGGTTGAGGTTCAGTCCCATTTTAAATTTGGTGAAATTGCACTTTTGTAGATAAAATGTTTTTGTTGGTGTAGATGCTTTTCACTCAAACCGAGCCACAAATAGCACAAAAATACAATTTTCAGTTTATTTCTTAGTATATTTCTTAAGTATCTTTTCATCTCTTTCTGGTGCCTCAGCTAATCTATGAAAGAAATTCAAATTTTATGTCTTATTTGCTCAAGGACCTCCGACCAGTTTCTTAAATAACATTTTTCACTTGCTTTTTTAGTATTTATAATAGATTAAGCATTCACAAACCCTCAGTTAGTTATGTTGCTTCTTGTATTTGAATAAATATTTTCTTTTTTTACATGGACCTAGTCAGGTTTATATGACAATAACTTTGTTGTTATTTCAAATTTTTCATGCATTGCTGTATATTAGACATTTGATTTTATAAATGTACGGTAATATTTTATGATTATATACATAATTTACATAAAAGGAAATTTATATTACAGAGCACAGAGTGTTCAGTTGTTACAGAAACTTCATAAAGCTAAAGTGTTTGAAGATGTACGAGGGCAGAAACATAATAGAGGAGAGTTTACAGACAGTAGTCGTCTTTTTAGGTAAACATTCTAGTTAAACATAAACATCTAGCATTTAAAAAAATGCAAATATGATATTATTTTGCGATAAGTGCTTATAAAGATGTCTTTAATTACTTGGTATATACCCCAATATCACTGTAAATTCATGTTCAGCCTAAACGTGGAAGCAAACTGGTAAAAGCCAGTTCCATATAGAGTTTTATGAGAACAGTGGAATTATTTTTCAATTAGCAGCTTGACTACATAATACAGGACAGCCTGATGTTCATAAATAATCCCCGATTAATTTTCAACGCAAATACTTAAATTTAAACAAGTTTTAAATCTTAACAATTGAAAAAAAATCACTTTTTTATTCTAAAAGTTTAAAAAAAAAACCCACTGTTTTGCTTAATATGGCACAGCATTACACATTGTAAATGAGCACTTGAACCAACCCTATGAAATGACTCATTTTCAGACTTACGCTTAGTTCTCCTTCCAAGGCGGTGAGGACTCCAATAGCTCTGAGAAACAACCTTAAACTGGCCAACTTACGGAGATCCCCGCTCACAAAACCAATGGCACCGCCCAACCCAGTCAAGCTTGACTTTGACAGGATGTCATCAATGCCCACCATACCAGACAACACAAGTACATTACCAGAATGCCACTTCATGTCTAAACCATTGTCAGCCCAAGAAATAGAAGAGGAATGGAAAAACATGACTTTACAAAAGTGATTACCTTAAAGAATGATCATTCTTAATCCTAATCTCCCTAGATATCTTAAATAGACTTGTCCATCTTTCAATCTAGTCAAAAACATTTTTTTAGGTAATATTTTCAAGTTATCTGGCTATGATTTTAAACTGTTGCATTGTTGCAATGTTTAGTTTAAGATTATCAGATAAGTACTATAAGATGAGGTATTAACATGGCATCGTCATTTCAAAGTCATTGTCATGTAGAAAAACAAATACTGCCATTAGTTCACAATAAAAAACATATATATGCATTCTTTATTTGGATTGTCTGACTTCATAAGGTATGCTGAAAGGTCTGTTGTGTTCTTTAGAACTAGGAAACTCTTTGCAGGAATTGATTGCTGTACATGTTTAATTGATGATAAATTTTAAAAAAAAAGCATTTTTAGCTCGACTATACGAAGTATATGGAGAGCTGTCCTACTCGCCCCGGGGTCCAGATTTCAGATTAAAGTTTTGGTGCAGTAAAATATTTTTATGCCCCCACAATGTGGGAGCATATAGCGTTGCACTTGTCCATCCGTCAGTCTGTCAGTCCGTCCGTCCGTACGTCCCGAAATCTTGTGAACGCAACTCCTCTTAAACCGGATGTCAGATTTTGCTTAAACTTACAGGGATGAACAACCTTAATGTGTAGATGGTAGTAAAGGAAGGAATTTTTGCTGCGACCAAATTTAACAGAATTATGGCCCTTTGTTGATTTTTTCACTAGCTACTATGTAGAAATTTTGTGAACGCAACTCCTCTTAAACCGGATGGCACATTTTGCTTAAACATACAGGGATGAACAACCTTAATGTGTAGATGGTAGTAAAGGAAGAAATTTTTGCTGCGACCAAATTTAACAGAATTATGGCCCTTTGTTGATTTTTTCACTATATACTATGTAGAAATTTTGTGAACGCAACTCCTCTTAAACCGGATGGCACATTTTGCTCTTACTTACAGGGATGAACAACCTTAATGTGTAGATGGTAGTAAAGGAAGGAATTTTTGCTGCGACCAAATTTAAAAGAATTATGGCCCTTTGTTGATTTTTTCACTATATACCAAGTAGAAATTTTGTGAATGCAACTCCTCTTAAACTGGATGGCAGATTTTGCTTAAACGTCCAGGGATGAACAACCTTAATGTGTTGATGGCAGTAAAGGTAGGAATTTTTGCTGCAACCAAATTTAACAGAATTATGGCCCTTTGTTGATTTTTTCACTAGCTACTATGTAGAAATTTTGTGAACCCAACTCCTCTTAAACCGGATGGCAGATTTTGCTTAAACTTACAGGGATGAACAACCTTAATGTGTAGATGGTAGTAAAGGAAGGAATTTTTGCTGCGACCAAATTTAACAGAATTATGGCCCTTTGTTGATTTTTTCACTATATACTATGTAGAAATTTTGTGAATGCAACTCCTCTTAAACCGGATGGCAGATTTTGCTCTAACTTTCAGGGATGAACAACCTTAATGTGTAGATGGTAGTAAAGGAAGGAATTTTTGCTGCGACCAAATTCAAAAGAATTATGGCCCTTTGTTGATTTTTAGCTCGACTTTTCTATGAAAAGGGGAGCTATCCTACTCGCCCCGGCGTCGGCGTTGGCGTCACACCTTGGTTAAGTTTTTCGTACCACCCCACTTTATTTCAGAAGTATTACAAGTATGGCTTTGAAACTTACCATACTTGTTCACCATCATAACCTCCATCTACAGACAAGAGTACATAACTCTGTCAAGGTTTTTGACAGAATTATGGCCCTTTTTTGACTTAGAAAGTGTATTGAGCTTGGTTAAGTTTTTTGTACTACCTCACTTTATTTCAAAACCATTGGAGGTATTGCTTTGAAACTGACCATACTTGTTTACCATCACGACCTTCATCAACAGACAAGAGGACATAACTCTGTCAAGGTTTTTGACAGAATTATGCCCCTTTTTGACTTAGAAAATACATTGAATATGGGTAAAATCCACTTATTGCCTTAACCCTTTGAGATATTGCTTTGAAACTTTTAATGCTATTTCACATCATTACCCCCATCTGTACGCAAGAGAAGGTAACTCTGTCAAGGATTTGTTTTAAAAATTAAGGCCTTTTATCGACTTAGAATCTTGGTTAAGTTTCATTTCATAACATTTCAAACTTTGCTGCAGTGTTCAAGGGTATCACACAATTCAGTAAAATAATTCTTCACTAAATATCTTAATGCTCATGGCCATTGTTCACTTTAAAAATACAGAGATTCTTGTATTGCCTTTTACTGCAAAAACTTTTTTTATTGGCAAGCAATAAAAAAGTCGAGCGCGCTGTCTTACGGACAGCTCTTGTTTCACTATATACTATGTAGAAATTTTGTGAATGCAACTCCTCTTAAACCGGATGGCAGATTTTGCCTAAACTTCCAGGGATGAATAACCTTAATGTGTTGATGGCAGTTAAGGAAGGAATTTTTGCTGCAACCAAATTTAACAGAATTATGGCCCTTTGTTGATTTTCATTAATTACTATGTAGAAATTTTGTGAACGCAACTCCTCTTAAACCGGATGGCAGATTTTGCTTAAACTTCCAGGGATTAACAACCTTAATGTGTAGATGGTAGTAAAGGAAGGAATTTTTGATGCGAACAAATTTAACAGAATTATGGCTCTTTGTTGATTTTTAGTTTCAACTTGTGGCACATGTAGTCCAAAAAATATTTGACCTGGAGTCATAAGATTGTCAGAACAGTGGCGTGTGGGGGCATCAGTGTCCTATGGACACATTTCTAGTTCACTATAACTTTGTCATTTCTTAAGGTATCAACTTCAAACTTCAAATATATGTTCCTTATCATCAGCCACATCTTATGTGACAAGGTTCATAACTATAGCACCAAAATTTTCAGATTTATCTCCCCTTGAACTTAGAATTTTCCTTAAAAAATACTATTTTTACTGTTTCTTCTTTATTTCTTAAGGGATCAACCTCATACTTCAAATATATGTACCTTATCATCATCCCCATCTTATGTGACAAGGTTCATAACTCTAGCACCAATATTTTCAGATTTATCTCCCCTTGAACTTAGAATTTTCCTTAAAAAATACTATTTTTTACTGTTACTTCTTTATTTCTAAAGGGATCAACTTCATACTTCAAATAAATGTACCTTATCATCATCCACATCTTATGTGACAAGGTTCATAACTCTAGCACCAATATTGCAAGAATTATCTCCTCATCAACTTAGATTTTTTTACTAGAAAAATGTTATTTTTTACTATAACTTTTTTAGTTTTAAAGGTGTCTACCTCAAACTTCAAATACTTATTCCTTATAATCAATTATATATTATGTGACAATGTTCATAACCTTGAAGTATTTTTTACAGATTTATTTCTCTTTGAACTTAGGATTTTCTTTAAGAAATATTATAACTTTTTTTACTTTTTAAGGTATCTACTTCAAACTTCAAATATATACTTCTTATCATTACATTCATGTTGTGTGACAAGGTTCATAACTCTAGCATGACTATTTCTAGAATTATCTCCCTTGATCTTGGAATTTATTTCAACAAATGTTATTTTTTTACTATAACTTAATACATAATTATACATAATTGATTTTTCTTTCATAGTTTTGTCCTCCTTACTGCGTCCAGTATTTTATTAGTCGAGCTTGGCTGTCTCCTGTGACAGCTCTTGTTCATAACATTGCATGATATATCTAGATATCATTGTTAATAATTTTGTTATTAAAGCCTGCAATTATTTAAATAGTCTATTATTTAAAATCACCAACAACCTTGTTTAGATCTGTAGCTGTAACTTCTTGATAGGTATCATTATTGACACATAGGTGATGAGAATGACTCATTGGATACCTATAGATCAAGGACATTCTAAAGCACAATCTTGTGTCGGATAAATGCCTGGGGTGCTTCCCCTTATCCCCATCTCCTTTTTAAAAGAATTGTTGGGAAATATATTTAAAGATGCATTTTGCTCAGTCTTTTTATTTTTCATCATAAACAGGTTCTATTTTTAGTAATAATTCTATTTTGTTATATATTTCAGCTTACAAAAGATTCTTGGTGTTGATGCCCTAGGTGATATTATCGATGCTGAATATGTGAAAGGGAAGTTCATCATGCATAATTGTCTATATATCAACAAAAGTGGTGTTGTCACAAACATTGATCCAAAAGGTTGGTAACAAATATTTTATATTTTATTAATTTATTTGATCAACTGTAGGAATTATTAAATGACTGTTGTTACATTCGTATCGATTTATTCAGGGAATAGACATAAACACATACAATGTTATCACATATATCAACTTGCATATATATAAAAACACACACATAAATGCAATAAAAATAATTATAAGATAAATTAATGAGTATGTTCTATGTAACCCTAGGATTGCCCATTAAGCTAAAAGCTTATTTCCAATGGGGTCCATTTACTGTAAAATTATTACACTAACTTACATAATAATAAATGAATTACAAAGCAGTTAAAATAAATGACAATTTTCAACAATCAAGACACATTTTTCAATATAATTAGACAAGTACATTGTACACAAACAAAATGAAATAAATTTCGTTTAAACTAAAGCATATCAAAATTATCAAGTACAACATAAACATGTTACAAAACCTTATCATAAGTTACACATCAATTTAATAATAAATAAACATATTATTCACTTGTTTATCATTTTCATTACTTAAAAAAAGTTTTACTTTCGTTTTAAATGTTTGGATATGTCATTGTGCATAAAAAACATCCCATGTTGTTATCTAGGACTGTAAAAGTGTAGATGTTTGTCCTGTATATATTAGGGCCCATTTCTTGGTGCATATTGATAATTTTTGTACAAGGGCAAAAAAATACTTTCAATGACATTTAACAAAGTCATAATTAGGTAGATCATTTTATGTTGGAGTTGCAAAGGTATGCTGATGATTGACCAACTTGGAAATTTTAATCTTGATGTCTTGAAATTTTTAATAATACAAGTTTAGTGGCTTGGCATTTAAAACATCAATAATCTTAAAAAACTAAGGGTAAAAATCTGTAAAGAATCAAGTAATTTAGAACCAGAACAAACTAAGCAACTTTTGTTGATACTATCGTTGAGTAACAATTGAAATATATTTCATTCTGTATTTGTTTTATAGATCAACTTCCACACTGGGCACTGTCAGCCATGAAATGTTTGGCATATTGTAAGTTTAAGTTACTTTAATTTTCAAATTTATACTTGTAACTTATATACTTATAACTAATTTACAGTTTGCCAAAGATTGTCTGCCAATGAAATCGCTCTAAATAAAATTGTTCTATCTTGTTTAAATTTTGCTGAAATATTTGCCATACACTACTGTAACTCAATTGTATGTATTAAATGAGCCGATTTAATGGACTCCGCCTATTTACATAATGTAATCAATTTGAATGGGCGGGGCTAACTGTTAGTCAGTTACAGGTTATATAATAATACAGAGTTTTAAGATACTAATTTTCTTGCTTCACTAAGTTCGTATATAACCTATACTAAAATCATAGTCCAAATGATATAAGCAGCTCATTTAAAATTTTGGAAACGGTAGATACCTTGAGAGTTATGAAGATAAATAGATGAAAAATAAATGAAGAGTATTTTATGTCTGTCAGTCTGTTTGTGAGATGGAATGGAACATACAACATTTCTTACACCCTGAAGCAGTATTTGGTCTTCCACCATTAACACTTCTAAGAAACCATGTTTCTTCCCATAACAAAAATAACTTGATGATAATATGTGAAAATGAAATTCCTAATAAAAATATTTTTCTCATCATTTAAAGGGCCAGATAAGATAGATGAGAACTTACCAAATTATCCTGGTTTTGAGAAGGACGTGTTCCGTGTAGTGAAGGAATATTTCTGTGAATTACCGGAGCCACTGATGACCTACAACATGTATGAGGTTATAACAAATGTGTTTGGTAAGTCTTTACTTGTATCAGTGCAGTCTGACATCCAGACAACTGCCGGCTGGTGTTAATTTCTTTATTCATTTTTTTCCTCTCAAAAATATGAAATGGGGTAAATTAGTTTTTTGCATAACAAACTTCAACTTAAGTCTTTTTTTCACAGGTTGGGGAAGCAGCCCTGCCCTTAATTTTGGGGGAAATTATACAGTATTTTTGCAAAAGGGAAGAAAAAACTTAATGTAACAATTCAATTTTGGGGAAAACTTCATCACTTTAAAGAATATTTCTTTGGGGAAGTCACTTTTAAAAGGGACCCTGCTGTAGAAGGAAAAAAGCCATGTACTTTCAGTTCAAACACAGAACCAGTACTCTTTTATTATAGTAATTAAAAACTTAGAATTTTGTGTAACATAAATTGTAATATCATGATTATACTTTAAAAGAAATTAATTATTTACTTATGCTTTTTTTATTCAGATGTGGAATAAAAACATTTTGAATTTAATTATATATATATATATATATATATATATATATATATATATATATATATATATATATATATATATATATATATATATATATATATATGCCTATCACACGGCCTAAGTTATGGGTTGATACTGTGTTATTTCTTTTCCATAGCAAGGATTTTTTATTTCCATACATAGAATAAAATACAAATACTTCTTTTTTCGGTCACTTTTTAAAAAATGGTTGCATTATAATATTCTTGTACCAGTTTTCAAACAATTGTTGCCACAGCCTGAAATTCAGAGTTGAATAAATGAAAAATCCTTGTGTGGAAAAAAGAAATATGCAGTAAACATTGAGATATGAAAGCTTTGTATTTATAATTCTCTACAAAACAAGAGCTTGCCATGTCAAAGTTCAAACATACTAATTGTCATTATATACATGTATGTGTTTATACAGAAAGAGTTAGATGTTATAGTTTATCATCTTGACCAATGTTGACCACGCTAAATGTCTTACATGACCATCTTTCAATCTGTACTAGGCCATTCATAATTTTTAGGGGAAATTTCCAAATTTTAACAGACTGATGGAATATTGAACAATGCAGGCCATGATCAGACGTGCCAGCTGATCTTGGTCTGTACTGGTCCTAGGGCTGACAGCTTTTGAATGTTTTTGATGAATAATTTGTATTTTTGTGTTAAAATAATTGCCAGGATTAGAAATCTTGAAAGACATAAAGAACATAATTGTTTCTTTACAATTTGGTAAAACACAAATTATTTAAAATTCAACACTTTTTGAGCTGTTTATGTGACTAGAAATTAATTAATTATTACCAAATATTAAGTGAGTTTTGCTTTGTTTTGATCCTAATAAGCAATTTATTAACTTTTCTGCATACACAAACTTGGTCAAGATGTGAGAAATGTGGGAAATATACATGTTATAGATTCTTATATAGAGCTTTTGTACTATTCATATATACAGAGGAATTATTTAGTCATATATGTACATGTATATACATTTATACATAATAATTCATATATTCCCATGTATTCATAATTTTATTAAACTAAAAAATGTTCATAATTTTCATATAACATAGTTTATACTAATAAATAACATCAAATATTAATTGTACATTATAATCATCTTGTTTTGTTTTGTTGCAGTTATATCTAACCACTAAGCTTGTTTTTATCTTGTTCTTTATTTTCATCTGTGCCTGGGTGTAACATTTAACTTGAATTGCATCAAATCTCATCGTAACCTTCACCTTGTTTGTGACCTTGCATGTGACATCATAACAGTGACATCATCCAATCTGAATCAGAAGAAAGGACATGTGTCTCGTGGCATCTTGCCAAGTAACTGTGAATACTCTAACTCAACCCCTAAACTTATTAATGCCTACAAATCTGTTGAAAATTTGCTCATGAAATTAACGAGAAATTCCAAAACTTCTGCAGAGTGCCAGGATGCATCTGAAGGTTACTCGAGCGGAAATATACTAGATCTGTCTCCAATTCAGCCGGTTCACAATTCTAGTCGTACAAGTAAACAAGGCGATCCAGTAACTAGATATGAAACTGCCTTCGGACCAGATAACAAAACTGTTACTCGTGTCTTTTACGCGGATGGTGTTGCGACAGACTTCAATCATATTGACAATGGAAAAACCAATATAGAACATACTCCAATTGAGACTCATTTTGAAGACTCCCCACCAAGTTCTGAAAGTGCACCTTCTTTCTCTAGGAAAAATGGTTTAAGACATTCTATGCATAATTTATTTAATAGAGGAAAGAGGGCGAAGGCAGAAAAAGCTAGTTCACGTAGACGTAGTGCTGGCTATAATTTGAATGAAGTAGATAACTATGGATGTACTGTAGGAGTTTATTCTAGAACCTCGCCAAACAACTCATCTCATGATACACCTGTGTCGAGGCTTGCTTCGGTTTCAAGGTCTGAGTCTTGTGCAGCAGGTATGGTGGAAAAAGCCAACAGGAAATTTGTAAATGGAAAACCTCCAGCATATGCCATGCCTCCTTCCTATGATGCCCTGTACCCAGAATCCCTTTACCCTAAATCCAGTCATCCCACTTCTGATAAATCGAGAAAGTTTCTAAAACGGAAAAAATCTATTTCAACAGCTTCTCTGAATCATAGAAAGTCCTTTATAGAAAATAGTGACAGCGGGAAAGGCAACTCTTCATCTTTGTCGGACAAATCAAATGGAGGGCGGAACTGTGATAATGATGTCGTAGTAGGGCGGAGCCTTAGCATGTCAGACTTGGCAGCAGCCACACCCCCAGTAGAGAATGAGCTTCAAAAGCAATGTATGGGGAAGATACAGGACAGTGAGGATAGTAAGTCTTTCAATTAAAAATTTTAATAAACTTTCATTAAAGCTACAATAAAGTTTTGTTACTCTCTCATACAATTATGCAGCTGTTCATTTTGTGTGTAAATGTCCTGATACATACATGTTTCTTTTAAACTGTTATGACAATAAAATCATGTTTTAGTTCTACAAAAGCATGCACTTAGTTTAGGAGAAAAATAATGCAAAGCCACTGAAAAGCTTATTTGCACATGTCATTACTGTAGATAGATTTTTCTTTTTAAAAGCTGACTTGAAATAATCTAATATTTTTGATACACAGCAGATTTGTCATTTAGTACTTTACATCTTTGAAATTGCACTTTTTGGCCTACAATATAACCATAGCCTCACTTAACTACTAAATATTAGCACCATTAATCCATTTTATAATTTATTTGAAGTTCTGTGTAGATTCTAATTTATTTGTAATATTTTAGGTGTGTTCTTAGATGATTCCACAGAAAGGATAATTAAAGCATTACAATTGGTCTGCTTGATCCTGCCTCCAGCCAATCGTAGAAGACTTCACTTGTTGCTCCGCCTCATGAACAAAATGTCAACCAATAACAAGCTAGTGCTGGATGAAACTCAGCCATCAAGAACATTGGTAATTAAACTTGAGCTTAAAACAATAATTATATTAAATTGAATTCTTGGGGTTCATCTTCACAATTTCAAAACTATATAAAATCTCAATAAGGTCAAATTGTCTAAATTGAAGAATACATTTAAAGAACAGACATATTGTTCTTTAAGTTAATTCTTGAAAAAATCAACATTTCAAACACTTATTGTCATGAATCATTTATAAACGGGCACTATTTATTTTTGGAAATGAAATTTTACATATGACTGAAAAGTTGTTAGTGTGAATGAAAAATCAACGATGACATTAATGTTATGCCTATTTGATTTCATACCTTTTTCAATGATGACATTAATGTTATGCCTATTTGATTTCATACCTTTTTCAATGATGACATTTATGTTATGCCTATTTGATTTCATACCTTTTTCAATGATGACATTAATGTTATGCCTATTTGATTTCATACCTTTTTCAACGATGACATTAATGTTATGCCTATTTGATTTCATACCTTTTTCAACGATGACATTAATGTTATGCCTATTTGATTTCATACCTTTTTCAATGATGACATTAATGTTATGCCTATTTGATTTCATACCTTTTTCAATGATGACATTAATGTTATGCCTATTTGATTTCATACCTTTTTCAATGATGACATTAATGTTATGCCTATTTGATTTCATACCTTTTGTTAAAAGTTAAGTTACCATGCAACCTCTCAAGAGAAACCATTTCTTTAGCAATAACTTCTGTACAACAAACAACTGTATCAATGGTTTCTGATTTTAGACTACACAAGAAATTATACTGTACTGCTAATATCAAGCAGAATTTGTTAACGATACTGTGAATCTGGTATTATTCACAATGTTTTAATAACTTTCACTACTATTTGCAAATTGGTTGCTTTTTACACACATTTAATGTTTTATCAAAAAAATGACACCTTACCTGTAATTTTGCAAAGTAACTTGTAATTTAATTTCTGAGCATGCCATGTTAAGTCATGACTCAGCAAAATTTTACAGTCAATGAATAAGATTCTGAATTTACCGGCCAGAATTTCAGTTTTGAAGTATTCTACTATATATATTTAACTAAATTTTCTTAAAATTTACACTGGCCCCGAACTAATTTATGCAGGCCTTCAGGCCAGTGCTAAATTCGATGTCTGCAAAAAAGCAAAAATAATTCAGAAAGGGTTTTTTGGGGAAATAAAGATCATGTGAATATAAAGTTATTTACAGTGAAGCGTAATACAAGGCCTATAACATATAATATGAAGTCATTAAAAAACACATCAATGCTAGGACCCTTTGTTGTTTGAGGTTAATCAGTGCATATTCTTGTGTTTCAGTTACTGGAGACGTTTTATCGTGCTGTACTGTGTTGTAGCGATGAGAGTGAGATGGATGACCTACTTGTTATACAACTTGTCTCGTTCCTCATGGATCATTACATGGAGATATTCTCCGTACCCGATGACCTGAAAACTAGCGTTGAACTTCGGGTAACCAAGTTACAAAGAACAAAGGTAAAACTGGTTAAACATACCACATAATGGGGAGAAACTTTTCTATCTAGGGAAAAATGTGGGAACATTTGTAGCTACATTTCGTACAAATAGATTTTGTTATGGGAATTGTTTGTAACGTTAGCACCATTTCTGCTTTATTATACAGAAAGCGCAATAACTAGTGTTAGAGCTATATTACTAGAAAAGCACTGCCAATTGTCATTCAAATTATCTTTTGGGGTTATACCAAAGCAAGCAATTTTAGGTAGAATTTAAAAAATCTAGATCAGTATTACTGCAATACTGATAATATTTGTAGAGGAGGAATATTTGGTTATATCATGCAGATGGGTAGGGGTATCAGTAAAAGACAACAACTACTATAAACCCATTTATTATTTGCACTCTATTTATAAGTTATATTTATCACATGTAAAGTTCTAGAAGTCATAGGTCTTTTTTGAAGTAAGAAAATGACAACAAAATGTTTTTGATAGCTTAGTAAGGTTGTTTGTGCTTTGCAGAATGAATTTATGTTTTCCTTATTGCTTTTAACAACTCATATGTGAATCATTTTATTTGCTTATTTAAAACATTTAGCTAATTGCTAGAAACATTAAAATTAAACATTAAAAAATTTTAGTACTCATTATCGTTATATTATTATTTTTTTTCGCCTTTTAGTTCACGATTTTAGTCCACTGTTTTTATCTTTTATCAACTTCATTTTAATCTTTTTATATTTCATTTTTATCTTTTAGTAATAATTTGTTTGAATAAATATTTTATGAAATCATTGAGTCATTATTATTTTTATTTCATTCTGTATCATTTTTTGATGACATAAGGGCTTAGTGCAAAAAAACAAATGTAACTGAATAAAACGTAGACATGAAGTCCCTAATGCTAATTGTTTAGAAATATTTTTATTTAGTTTATTTAGTTATTTTTCCTTTGACATAATAGTATATTTTCATTTTTTTACATTTTTTATCTCAGGGTCAACTGTTGTTATTATCTCATTATAATAAAATATTTGTGGATAGTTGTTTCTGTGGAAAAACATACTTACGATTTTTTTTTTTTTGATAAAGCCCACAGTGTCGACTATTTTGATTGGATATTTTTTTGATGATTATACATATCTCAGGGAATAAAATATAAACTGTTCTAATGATTTTATTATTATATAGGTGGACGAGCATAATTTAGATAGCAACATGTTTATAAGAGTACGTTTTAACCAATTACTCAGAAATTCCAAGATATACATATATACATGTACATTACTAGAACACATATATCTTATAAAGTAATATTAAACTAGAATATAGAATAGAAAATACTCCTGCATCTAGATTTTTGAGTATATATATTCTTTATTTAGGAATGTTCCTATATTTATAAATTTAAATTTTTTAAGTAGTACTTATATAGGAAATAACATAATTACATTGCTCGGCTTTTTGTGTTGCTCTTTTCCTATGTGATTGTGTGTATATAAATGTTTTTTTTACAATATTCAGAAGTGCTCTAACCTCAGTTATTTCAATGATTCACTGCATCACTGTAATAGTCTGTAATTTTATTTTCTCCAAAATTTTCCATTGAAACATTTAAATGCTGGTTTGCCCTTCAGTTATACATGCTGTTTTTTTTATAGCACCTTAGTTTATTTACTGCTACTTGGTTAGTTGAAACCTTTAATGAAACTCTTCTTTATACTGGGATTTGAGGTTCACTTGGTCACAGTCACAAGATTAAGTACATCTGGCAAATCTGTCATCATCAGTCCCTGACTATGATCTGCACTGTTCCCTATTCAGTCAGAACAATATCATAATTTATAATTAATAATTTTTAAATGTTTACCAAAGAGTAACTTATGGTTTTGTCTAGATCAAATAAGGGACAAGTCCATTATGAGATACCAGTGTATAAGATTGCTAGGGTTGAAGTGCTTTTAGTAAAGACAGTGTTGCATTGAACCAGTGATAATATATACATGTATGTGTGGGATTTATAAGGCATGTGATATATACTCCAGCTTTTATAGTGAATGATTATATCATATAATAAACTGTGACATTCTTCTGTGCACCACTATAAAAATTTCATTAGTTAAGTGGTAAAGAAATGTTTACATTTGTAAGGTTCTGAGGACATTACAACTTTTTTTTGCTGAGACTATCTGACATAGTGGTATATGAGATAAGATTTAGCTAATGAAAAAAAATTGTCCAAATAAATTATTTTAATGCATAATTTACTATTCTTTGTTTCATTTACTATTACTTGTTTGTTAAATAAACGGTTATGACCCTTTTAAATTTTTTCTTAAATTGTTTTTTTTTTTTTTTTTTTTTTTTCTCTAAAAAAAAAAATACTCCAGTTGATGGACAGAAACTTTTCGTGTGACATGTCTGTATGACCCATAAATTACATTGCGTGCAACATTTGATAACTCTAGCAATTTTTGTCTCAATTAGGCTTTCTTTTGTAGTGAGAAAAGTTTTTGTTCCCATTCAGAGTGATGAAGAAGTGGAACATTCTGTTAAATGTTACATTTATTTTTAGAGAAATGAAAAATTGATAATTTCTGCCTTATTATATTCTGGAATTATAAGTTTTATCCTTACTCAAGGCTAGTTTTATCAAATTGTGTTCATTTTTTCTTTGTATTGAAATATTCTTGAATGTAATATTTTGTATAACTGTGTAGGTGAAAGCAGTGTGTATAGATTGTGGTGCACAGGTATTCTTCGCTGTTTCTTTTCCCCTATTGTGTGTAAAATATTGTGGCTCCTTTCTGTGTGTTTATATGTCTTTAACCCTTACCATGTTGAAACAGATCATCACCATACTGCAGAAATTGGCATCGTCGGTTACCCACAGTATATATTCCGTACATACTACAATATCTAGATAATGTACGGAATATATACCGTGGGTAACCGGCGATGAGTAATGGGTTAACTCCTATTAAATTATACAAGGAGTTAACCTGTTACTGCACTAAGATGACAAGATTCTGTAAAGCTTATTCAGATACTGGTAGTATAGAGCTTGGCCAACTTGCACTTTCATGCTGTTGGAACAGGTTCTATACTAGTGGTTGACAAACTTCCAAGTTATCACATCTATCATAAATTTTGAGTGGAATGTTTCAAAATACAAGTTGGACAAGTCTAATTAGGCTCAGTTCTGGTGTTTGACGAAGTCTTCACCTATATAACTGTGTGCAGAATGTTTGGACAAGTCCATTCATGAGTAAGGGTTAAATTAAATGTTGTATTATTTGTATTAGAATTCTAATATATAGCTAGTTATTCTGAATCATTGTAGTCTATCTTAGCTTGTTCCCTTGGTTCATTGAAGGCTCAGATTTTCGGCATGAGGAGATAGAGTAACAAAAAAAATGTATTACAACAACATATCATTGTGTCTTATAATAAAGTAATTGAAAGTTATTTCAACTTGTTCACACATACCTTGTTTTTGTTTCTTTTGTGTGACAATTGATAAATTGCTTTTGCAGAATTTTTTACTCAGTGTTAAATGACGACTTCATTTTTCACAAAGTTTATTTTAAACTTTTACATGAATTAGTGAAATTTTATTGAGCTTTATGTTACAGTACTGATATTACTATAATGTTTAAAATATTTTTAAAAGATTTGGGAAATACTTTAATGTTTAAAGACAGTGATCTAATTTATGTCATCATTAGTCAGTGAAACAGTAATTGTCAATGCTTACTTCCCACTGGTTCAAAAGAATTCTACAGAAAAAAATAATGATGTCTTTATAATAAGATAATGATAAAGTAAATATATGAGAGTTAAATGTTTACATATGTTATTAATGTACAGATTGAATGTATTTCTAATAGTTGCCTTAAATCTGAGCCTTTTATCTAATTCATGTAGAACAATATTGTTGTTGTTATAAAGAAAAGATAGATCTGTATTTATAATTCTAACTATTTTATTGAGGTAAGTAGCATTTTTACATGGCAATTTATCAGTATTTTTTTATTCATCCATTTTCCTATGTGAAATATTTAGTATAAAGTAATCTATAGGTAAAAATTTACTTTATTCTTTGTAAAAAATAAGAATTTCTTTAAAGTTACAATTTTATTAAGTTAAAAAATATATATGGTAACTGTTATATTGTAATGTATGAAACTGTGGGCCCGTTTTTGAAAGTCCATGTTTTTATTCACTTTCATTGCTTAAAACATTTAAACATTTGCCAAAATATAATTTGGCATTTGATGAATTTGGAATACAATTTAATCACTTATTTGAGCAAGTTATAACTCTATTTTATTCTCCTTTTAATTAATTAATAAGTAAAATAGGAAATAATTTAGTTCAGAATGAATTCAGGGTATTCAGTTTATCTGTCACAAGATATCAATGTAACCTCTGTGGAGCAACACCTCTGTATAAAACTAGTACAACAATAAAATTTATGTTTCACACAGGAAGAACTAAATATGAATTTAACCTTAACAGAGTAAAGGCCTTTCTAAAGCAACACAATTCTCTGTCTTTTGATAGGTGTTACCCTAGAAAGATTTTACTATTTCTACAATTAGCTTTTAGGTTTCAGTATAAAAATTCAAAGTTTGGATAAAGTTTTTTTTTACAAGCATTTAAAAATAACTTTGAGCTATATTGACAGATAAACTGGAATCAATTTATCTATATGTTGTGACTTACTTATTTGTTGTAAATGCTAGATAGTTGCTCTAAACATCTTCTTTTCTTTTTTGCTAGAAATATTCTTGCCAATAAACTACTACATGTAAAGTAAGGTACAGACTTTTCTTATTTGGCAAAGGAAACCTAAATAAGTCAATTAAAGACTAATTTCATATACATCTGTAATCGGTTGCTGGGATTTACTTCACAAATTATGAACAAATACAACAAATATTATGAAAATCTAATCAAAAGCGTAAAAAATATATAATGTAATTAAAGTAGCATTCATAATGTATCTAAGCATTATAATTATGTAATTATATATATATTATATTTATAGTAGATTTTATTTTAAAAAAAGAAAAACACTAAAGTCTTGTGGTTTATAATATATCAAACAATCTGTTGATGACATAAATTTCTTATTCAACCATACATACATTATTAAGTTACATTGACAATTTATTTTGTGATTGAAAATAAATTAACTTTCAAGGGTATGAACTTCAGAATATTGTTATATCCCTTTATTACAATCAAACTTTCCTCTCATCATTTTACTTGCTCTTTGATATATGCTTGTTTCTTTCTTTGTCAAATTTTGATTGAATACCATAACAAATGTAAACTTGACAAACTTCATAACAATTTGAACTTCCCTAAAACTGTGTAATGGACAAATGGACTTTGAATTTAGAACATTCCATTGTTATTCATTTATGAAATTAATATAGATGAGCTGAAATTGAGTATAGATTCTAGTCAGTCTGTACAGACAGGTGAACAGACAGACCTGGCTCTATATTGATGGCATAGGTTAACACATAATTGTTGATAGCATTTAAATTATCTTTGGATAAAATGATGTTGAAATCTTTGCCCAAATAAAGATAACTCTGAATCTTATTCTAGTAGAACTGCTTTAATTTATAAGTAGATAGAATATTAAATACCAACCATGTTAATATATTGATATCTTGAAATTTTGAAATAAAAGTCACAAATATTTTCTGTTTCTTTTTCCTTAAAAAAATAATCTACACCTAGAAGTTCAAATTGTTATGATGTTTGGTCTATAGTAGTTTTTCTTCAAGTGCATGGGAGATAATTCAATATTAGTTTAACGAATTAAATTATACATAGTGCATTGCCCATTGTTCAGACCTTTTCCATAGAAAACTTTTAAGTTTTCACTATGTTCAAACTTTTGGAAATGTTGTTTGTTCTTCAAACTTTAAAGGTACTTTAAAGTTATAAAGGTTATTGAAAATTTACAAGTAATTTAATAAGGTAATCATATATGTTTTCATTAACCCTATGAGTGTTAGTAAAATATATTTATAAGACATGTTCCATTAGCACTACATGCTATCCTTATACTTTCAAAACATGTCAGTAACATAAATTTAGTCCTTGTATCAGTTTGAGTCAAAGCATAGAGGTTGATATTATATTTAATATACTAAAATGTCTAGTCAAAACTATACAGCAAGAAAGCATTAACATTTTCTCAGGCATTCCATGTGTATAAGTTATTTTCAAGAATTTTCTGTTGACCTAAAAATTAAGGACTTTATATTGTATGGTACTGTAACCTAAGTTATAAAAACCTCCCATGTACCAGTACCAGCATTTGCATGAAAATTGCTGTTTAACTCTAGAAGAAAAATAGACTATAACTTTACTTTGTTGTGGTATCCATGGAAACGCTTGCCTTGCAGATCCGATATTCCTCTGATGACTCGGCATCCCTCCATTTCTGTAAACAACTGTCCATGGATGAGTATGAGAATCAACGAATGACGTCATCACAACAAGCCCTCGCCTCCCTCCTCGAGGACATTGTCTCAGATAAATCCATGGCTCTCAAAGAAAAGAAAAAAAGACTGAAGCAGGTAAACATATTTGCTTTATACACTACTCTGCAGAAAATAAAGTTTAAGATTTTAATGGTGTTCAACATTTAGATAATTAAATGAGGGTCAATATACATGTACTTTAAGTATTGGGCCAAACTGTGCAGTTTGACCATACTGCATACTTCCAGCTGAATAATTTTAGAGGTTTCTTATTTTTGTGAAGAACAATGTACATTTCTAAATGTGAGGAAGCCATAGTTAAGTTTGCTTACAGAAGGGTGGTGGTTCTACTTACCTGCCTGTGCCTAAAATAATGCTCAGAGGTTTCCTGCATAAAGAAGATTTTGAAATTTGTCATATGTCAAAACAGATTTGTTGTTTCTAAAGAGTTCTTGTTTTTAAAACAAGAGTGTCCCCTGATATATTATAAGATGCATGTACATGAATAAATTTGACTTTTTTGCATGTTTTATATTCAGTGACTTGTATTAAGCAACCATTTTTAGCTCGACTATTCGAAGAATATGAGAGCTATTCTAGTCGCCCCGGCGTCGGCGTCAGCGTCCGCGTCGGCGTCTGCGTTGGTTAAAGTTTTTTGTAAAGTCAAATATCTCAATTACTGCTTGAGATATTCAATTGAAACTTACAATACTTATTTATAGTAACAAGGTACATCAGATTGACAAGTTGGATAACTCTGCCTACAATATTGACAGAATTATGCCCCTTTTTAACTTAGAAATTTTGGTTAAAGTTTTTTGTAAAGTCAAATATCTCAATTATTGCTTGAGATATTCAATTGAAACTTACAATACTTATTTATAGTAACAAGGTACATCAGATTGACAAGTTGGATAACTCTGCCTACAATATTGACAGAATTATACCCCTTTGGAACTTAGAAATTTTGGTTAAAGTTTTTTTTGTAAAGTCAAATATCTCAATTATTGCTTGAGATATTCAATTGAAATTTAAAATACTCTTTTATAGTAACAATGTATATCAGTTTGCAAAATTGCATAACTCTGCCTGCAATATTTGCAGAATTATTTGCCCCTTTGAAACTTAGAAATTTTGGTTTAAAGGTCTTCAAAGATATTTACTTGAAATTTTACACATGCACTTAGGGTCATAATTGGAGGGTCATAATTGTATGTCACTGACCTAGTTCCATAACTCTATCTTGCATTAAGGCTGATTCATATCCCCTTTTCTACTTAGTCTCTTGGTTAATGTTAACATGATAGTTTTACATATCTCAATAACTATTAAAGATATTTATTTAAAACTACACATATGCATTTAGGGTCATAATTGTAGGTCACTGACAATGATCCATAATTCTGTCTTGCATTTAGGCTGATTTTTCTCCCCTTTTTCAACTTAAAATTCATGGTAAAGTTTTGCTTGTAAGCTGTTATCTCAATAACTACTGAAGGGTTTGTACCTTTTTTGGGACAATTTTATGCATTCATAATAATAAAGCAGTGATAACTTGATAAAACATCTTAATAACAAGCATTTGTACCTTTTCTGTCAAATTTATGTATTCATAGGTAATTAGTATTATTTTACTCAATTAAACACCCTTGTGACATTACCTTCCGAATAGTCAAGCCAATACTGTATAATTAGACTCTCTCTAAGGCCTATAACATGAATTTATGAAAAAAATTAGCTCTTTCGTGAACTTAAAAAATTTAACATTATAAAGGCTCTTTTACTATCAAGCACTTAGAATAGTCGAGCGTGCTGTCCTACCGACAGCTCTTGTTGTTATTTCCCTTATATTACTTTTGTTATCTTTTGTCCAATCTTAGAAGAAGAATTATGTAAACTACCAATTTAAATTCATGTACAGTAAGTGTAATTTATATACAGTTCACGTTTCATAAATATTTTCAGTTTCAAAAGACATATCCTGATATATATCTACGAAGATTTCCATGCAGCCAGAGTGAGGCAGAGTTGTTTCCTCCTAGACCAAAGATAAAACAGCCGCTGCTTGCCAAACCATTGCTCAAATTGAAAGGACTTAGACTCTAACATGACTTCATAACATAAAAGAATTTAGGACTATATGAAGTTTTAACTACTGATGTTAAGGAAAAGTTCTTATTCTCAAGTAATTATCAAATTCATAGTCATTTGACCAATATATAATTGTGCATTACACCATTATTGAAACATAGCAATAGAACTTTTAGGACATTTGGTTTCATTATACCAAAATTTCTGGAGTAGTTTGCTGCCTCTGAAATGGCTGTTCAATTTTACTCCCTCAAAAATGGCCATTCTAATTTAAAAAATGGCAGCAACTTTATATGTTGTTAACTTACAGATCAATGTCTCTTGACCTTCATTTATAACTTTTATCATTGCTTTATCATCATAGACATTTTATGTAGAGAAGGACAAAGGAAACATCATAGAATCTTAAAATATCATTTTTCATTTTATTTTATTTGTACTGGTCACAGTTTTAAGGAATAGATAAACCGGTGAAAGGAGATGTGTACTGCATCAAAGATGATGTAATAAACAAGAAATCATATCTGCTAGAAAATCCATGTTTTCTTTTTACTATTTCATAATCATAGAATAATCATGTCATTAAAATGTGCTCATCAAATTATGAGTGTTTTTTGGAGCTTTTATTCTTAATCATGTATGTTACATAAATGGCTTTTATTAAAAAAAACAAAAAAACTAAAAACAAAATAAAAATCGGCTTGCATGTTGTGTTGAAACATTTGGGTATACAAGACCTACAATATCAGTACATGTATCATATCTAGGTCAGTTGCCACTATTCAGTTTATAGTTTTGGTCATGTTAGACCTTTCTAGTTCACAGTTTTGGCATTTTACTTTTGACCAGTTAATCATGTGTTGAAAATATATTTTTTTACACATTTATGTTTGGCATATTTTTAGTTTTGACATATATACTTTCTGCTTTTAGTCACTTGTTATCATTTCACTTTTACATTGTTTTGTTAAATTTGAATCATGTATGTACATTTGTATTATTAAACTATTCCAAACTTTGAATGTATGTCTTTACAATAAAATCTATAAAACTGTTAAATTGGTTACATGTTATTTAGTATACTATCATAGTTACCACAAGTGACTTGGTAAAAAGTTGTTTTTTAGGTGATAAAAAAACCTAAATAGTTTCATCAACAGATTTCCAATAAGTTTAGAAAATTCAGGTCAAAAGTCAAGGTTGTTCCCATTACTACTGGCAAACTTTATAGTGTCAGTTTTGGTTTGCAATAAAATCTTGTATTGTAAAGAGTTAAAGGTTAGTGACTACAGAATAGATAGGAACTAGAGAACTTTTTGCAGCTATTCATAAGCATTGGTTAACCTTTCCGTTAAAAATGAGGTTAATTTGCTCAGAAACTATAAAAGCTATTCACTTCAAACTTAGTATTAATAACAATAAAATATTGTTTGTGTTGATTGGTCATAATTATGTATAGCATTAAATCATCAGTTATTACACGATCCGGATATGTATACTTGTGGAAATACGAGTTGTATAAATGAGATAAAAGTAGGAGGTCTTTTCCTCATTTTATTCGTATAGCAAAAACGATATATACGAGTATAAGAGAGAGTTTACACTTTTAAATCAAGAAAAATAAGATCTCCAATATTACATGAGCGATTTGACTATTTTTTATCTTTCGTCTGCATCATGTTTTCCGAACAATGTATTTATACACTCGGCCTCCGGTTATCTCATATTTCATTGAAACAGTCTACTTTCTTTGCACTGCTCCGAGCCCACCGTATATTGCGCTTCAATACAAGAAAAGTGGCCACACATTCCCTCGTAGTATGATTTTATTTTATTATTTGACCTTTGACTTGCTATTCTATTGAAAAAAAAAACCCATCGCCGCTGCAATAGCTCGGAGTCTCACTTTTACGGTGATGCAGGGGTGTTAGCCGGTGCGATGATTTGATCATTCTGTATATAAAGTTAAAACACCATTAGGCAATTGTTACTCATTTATATAACGGACTTCTCATGTTTGGAATTAGATCAATGTATCCATTGTTATTAATAATACTGATATTTCACCATCAAAATGCTTCCAATAAGCTGCCAGTAGTTTTTTCAGACCGCAAGGTGTTAAACTTATGGTAAATAAATGTCTAAATCCCAATTCGCTTACCTAATAAAAAGTATGGACTTATAAACTAAACCTAATATTCAAAGAATTATCATAAATGACAAAAAGCATTACTTAGAAAGATATGAGACCAAATTAAACGGTTCATTCAGTTGGCTGAACTGTGCTCTGGTAAGTTCAGAGTGGTTTCTGTCGTAATCCGGAGTGAAATCTACCACCACCACCACACAACCATGTTTTCTGATATTTCGAATGACCAATCATGGCGCCTAAAATGAAGTGGAAAATTTGACTTGTTAAATGTTGTTTTAATCACTAGCTAGATAGCATGCCCATTTGTTTAATACTAGTATGCGCCGTTTACTTAGAGTGTGTGGCAAATATATCATGTCAAACTCCAATGGTTTAGGTCTTTCTACGCTTGTATGATTTGTTCTTACTTTCAGGAAGTACAGTGATTTTCGTTCTTTTACTTTGGTTTTCAACAACATTGTCATATACGCTTTTGCAATAAAAATCTAAACTGCTTTGCAACAGAGAAACGACCAAGGCGACCGTCTTTGTTATTTCCTAATTTATTATTCACAGTGACGATCCATTCAAATGTATTATTAACGAAGTTGTGAAAAGATGATTTTGTGTATCAGTATATAGTTGATTAAAATACACGCATTGTACAAACTGTACATAAAGACGATTGCAGAATGTAAAAAAAGACACAATGCAATGGTGATACGCCCAAGCAGCGTTCATTAAAATGTATCAGACGGTGAGGATCTGCATCTACAACTCCGTCAGTAAATCAGCAAAAAAGTATAAATGGTGCGTAAAATACTATTTTGAGCAACCACATTTTGGACTGTCGCGCTTTAAGTCTCGCCAGATGACTGCTTCCTATTGACTGAAGAAATCAGTAGTGAATATCTCGTCCTATGGGATTCGAACCTGCGGCCTCTGTATTAGATGTCTGGTTTTCTACCCCTGACCAGTGGTATATGCAATGGTTATTTTACCATGGTGGATGTGAAAGTGTTGCTAATTGGTGTTGTTGGCGGTGTTATCTTTATAGTTGCGGTGACTTTACAATGATGATGATGACGGTGATAAAGGAAATGATGGCACTGGCGGCAGTTATAATGACGGTGATGATGATGATGATGATAATGTGGAAATTAGTCGACACAAATATAATGTCGAGTATTTTGCATATAAGAAGTTACAAACAAGATTTGTTGATGAAAGAGCCAGCAAATTCAGAATAAAATATCTTTCATTCCTACACGATAGAAACATTCTTCCGTTATTGATCTGTTATTAAAAAAAATCAATCCGGAAAGAACGCGCGTCTTTTAATTTTTCAGAAAGAAAAGCAGATCTTCACAAATAGTCATTTCTTTTTAAACTATTGGTAAAACCATTTAACGTTCATTTTAATTTATTTACACAGGGTATTCAAATGCGACGACGTCATTCAAATAAAATATACAAAAGCTTTTATCAACCAAATCGAAAAATTTCTATACTCGATATGTTAAATCAGTGTAAAATAAGAAAATGATATTCAATCACGAAAACTTTAAAACTTTTTTAACTGTTTGGCTCAGTATGTAGGGATTTTTTTTCGGCGTTCACGAATGACTAGAAAATCAAACTAAAGGATTTGAATTTGTTATCAAAGACTTAAATGGGATTTTAGGCGGATTAAAAAAATGAAATGAAAGTTTTCAAATAGAGATTAAGGCCAAGAACAAGGATTTTAAAGATTTTACCATCTATATATATGATTTGGTAGGTATATTATGTTAAACGCTGTTTCAATACACTAAACTTATACCATATTAACATATCCCTACAAACATATCCCTACAGGGAACTTTTTTCTTAATTTATTTTTTCTCTTTCGTGTTAACCGATGAATTTTCGGTGAAATACAAGTAATATAATTCTTTTTCACACAAAAAAGTACATTAAAAGGTAAAAATGATTTTTTTAAAAATAATTATGACATACACCTTATTTTAGGTATTTTATTGTGTGTTTTCTTAATATGTTTAAGTTTTTTATATGTTTAAGTAATGGTGAAAATCTATTTAAAGAATTTCTTGGTGAAAATATGTTCTTTTTCTACACTAGGCTTACATCACATGTATCTTACTTGCGAAATCGACATAAGTGTTAATTTCAAGGTACACGGTGTTGTTAATGATTCTTATACGAAACTTTTGAATAGCGATCACTTGTATTTAAAGACCATGTATTTTTGTTTTACATGTAGTATTGCTGGAGGGTTTTTTTTGGTTACTCGCCAATATTTAAACCCCTGTTGTTTGAGTTATAGCCTAGGTCCGGTCATAATATTTGTATTTTGGTTTAATATCTATCGGTGTGTGTGCAATATTTGATCTGATCGTATTCAGATATCTTTAATTGAAGCAATATATACTTTAATAGTTTTAATTCAATTCTGTGTACAGTAATATCATTTGTTTACATTCGTTGTCGTGCTACGTCGGGTAAAAAGTGCATATAGCTAGAGCATACACACCTGTCGTGTCTTCTTAAAAAAAACAATTCAAAACTGTTAAAAACGTTTATACCATCTTGAATTAACGATATTAGTATGTATTATATTTCTTAAAAGGGTTTTGAGTTAGCTTGAACTTTTGGTTAACTTAACTTATGAATACATTTTCAATATTTATACATGTTCATAGACCTCCCTTAATATCAAAAGGTGAGATGAAATGCTGGTCTTCTGTCTCTCAATGGGTTGCGGGTTCGAACTGTGTTTTACTTCATACCACACCAATATTATTTGCTAGTAGTCTCCGAAAGCAGACTCTAGAGTGATTAAAATAAGACCAGAACAAATTGTTTTTAAACTAGAGTGTCTTAAAGTTACAGACTTTTTAATATACAGTACATTTAGTAGTTTTATAAAATAATTAAAGAAAATAGAAAACTATCTTTTGAAAGGATTTGTTTAATAAAAATAATCAGAATAAGGAACCATGACTCATCAGAAGACGTTGAATTGTGAAGGAGACATCAACATCAAGTATATAATATACAATGTGTTAAATTTTTGGGTTGAATTATTTTATTGCCTTATTCTAATTTAAAGACAAACCAGTTTGCAAAACCTATAAGAGGAAGAAATTATTTGATCGATACGATTTTAACATGTGTTCTGTTTTTTCCACACCGATTAGCAAATCGATTTCACAAAGTTAAGGAGACTTTTTATTAAAGAAAACAGTAATAATTCTGATATTATACAATTTGTTTGTTAGAAAACGAACAGCAAGGGTGGATTAGATTAGTTTCTTTACGGATATATATTTATCAATTTTAACAGACAAGTAAGTTTATATGTTTGATATCTTTAAGTACAAACCTTGATAAATTTGGAACGTGTAAATACAAAGTTTGATAAAACTTGTAGATTAAATTTTGAAATTTGAATAAACACGAACGCCTTGCATGCTAAGATTAAACAAAGATCATTTAAATCAAATTTATGTGTAAAATATTTAAATAAATGCACGAATCATTTGTCTGGCTTCTACAAAAAAAAAATAAAAAAAAAAAATAACCACAGTCTTGGAAGCATGACAAAAATAAATTTGAATTATATAGCAGACGACACGACAGTTGTAAGTTACTGTTAAAATAAAAAAAAATAAAACAAATCATGTTTATGCGAATTCAATGAAAACACATTATTCATCTATTCAATAATATTAGATATTTATAAGTTTCTGTACCGCCGCTACACAATACTGCGGCATTAATTAATATCGTCCGCCTTGTCCCCCACCCCCAACTTTTTAATAAAATACGGTATATATTTTAGTGGTCACAGACGACAATCGTGCCCGCTTCAAAACTGTAGAGCGAGGGAGAAAAAAATGAATTAGAAGTCAGTTTTATATTTAAAATAATAAACTAGAGCTATAAATTTTTCTTTTTGTTTTATACCTGCTAATGAATATCAATAATGTGCTAAATGAGTTTTATTACTGTGAGATTATGAATCATACATTTTGTACCATGTTGCAGGAAAGTATTTCATTGATTTGCACAAGATAAGATAAAGAACTCATATCCCATGTTTTTACAGAGCTATACTTAATAAAAATTACATTCTTTTATAAAAGGCTCAGTTGTTTAACGCTGGGAAAAGTTTTCTTGACCTTAAACTGTACGTAATCCTGTCATAGGTTTAACAAATGGATATAAATGTATTTTTGTAACATATAGCTAGTACACATACCTGTTATAATCAAAAGATTAATGTACAGAAATAAAAGAGCGCTAGCTTATCAAAAAATATATGGTCATTTTTTTTTATTAAATATGCCGTATTCTTTTCAGAATGAGTTCCGTCAGATTTACAAAACCGTTTCTGCAACATGCCGTTGAGAACGTTACTTGGCTACGAACCGAGAAATGTTCCTTCTAGAGAAAGCTTCGGGGGAAACTTCATTGCTGCACATAATCGCGGAGTCATGGCAACCAAGAAACAGAAGTACCAGGCACCAATGGCACGTGTCAGGAAACTTCCGCCAATCGACGAGGAGAACGCTGTTACCCCTCGAACAACAGCGCGAAATACTAGAAACGTTTCTATACGCCGAGTACCAAGATCGGTGTTCGAAAACGACGACGACTTCTTTCCGCGGTCCTCTCCAGTGAAACAAAGACCTGTTTTACAAGTTCAACCAGTGCCGCGTGCGGCATCTCCGCCACCTATAGACAAATACATTAGCGAACCTAAAAAGTCAATTCCTTTGCACTATGACCTATCACCTAAGGATGTGAATCATACGATGGTAGATGGATTAGTTGCAGATTATTTACACTATTCGAGATATGGTCATATAATACCCGTGTATGAAGGCACCAGTAGCACGACATGCCCGTGCTGCACGGATAGGAACCGCCAAAACGTGAGATCATTGCTTGGTTTTCCAAAAGGCGTTGTTGCTGATACGCCATCTAAATATGAACATATCCCTACAAAATATGATCAAAAATCGTCCATTAGAAATATAAAAATGGACGAAGACCTTGGTAAAGATGTTTCCATGTATCCAAATTCTTTATACGCACAAATGCAAAGGCGGAAGGCGCAAATGAAAGAACCAACACCGGAAGAGAAAAGACTACAACAAATAGCCCAAGAATCTCGTCGGCAAGGTTGGATGAACTACCAACCGTTACCATACGCAACAAACTACCTAAACCCGGAATTTAACCGTCCGACAGAGATGAAATCTCTGTTATATGACACTAACACGTCTACAACCCCGGGACACGTGAAATATCAAGTGCTAGAGGCAGATAGTAACTTTGATAGTGCTATGCATAAATTAAGCGGATATACCTAGTATTAAACTATGTCAGTGTTATTTTTTTGGTTATTTTTAACACGAAAAACGTGATATACTAATATTGACGAAGATGTATGAGGAAAAAAACAGCAACAGAAAACAATCGTAAATATGGAAATGAAAGATGTTTCACCGGGCATCTTGTGTGATTTAGTTTAATTTCGCGTGTTTACAATTCAATTGCTTATTTAAACATAATCTATTGCGCACTGTCAGTATAAGTCAAATTTTAGAACTCTTTAGAAAATACATACACACGATAAAACTTAAGTTAATATATAGTACATTTATGAATTCAAAATTCTCATTATCAAAGCGTGTCACAGTTTTGTAATGTGCTTTAATGTCACAGTTCGATATAGCGGTTCACAATCTATATTATCGTTATGTGTATCAGAATACTCATCAAATATAGCATTTCCTGAATGACACGATTTTTATATACCTAAGTCTTTTAGATATACAGTTGTTGTTTACTTATGTCACACGCTATGCTTATGTTTATTATTGTTAAGGTATTTCTCGGTAATTTATTCATGCACAGTTTGAAGCATTCAATGCTCGCTCAAATAGCCACATTTTCATTATAATAATACTTTATGTGAAGACCTCAAACTTACACATGTTACAATCCAACATTTTTTCAGACAGAGTTGTAGCCCCTTTTATGTACATTTCCTAAACAGCATGTAAACGTATTATAGATCTACTCATAGCTAATTATTTTCATTAATGTTAATATATTATAGTAACATTAATGAAAATAAAGAGCTTAAGTTTAAATCATTTTTATTAAAAACCGTAGTGATCAATTATATTGTGATAACTTGAGAATGGAATATTATATTGTAGACATATTTGTTATCATATCATTATTTATATCATGTACATTATCTACGTAATAAATACATATAACATTCCGCAAACACTTGACTTTTCCTAAACAAGTACATCTTGTTAGAGAAAAAAAGCTTTAGTCACTTGTGTCATGTATGTTTGTTATTTTATATTATCAGTATCATAATGAATTGCGAGGTATTCCGACTTATCAAACATTACAAGAAGTTGTATGTTATTGTTTATATTATATTTTGAATTAGCCAGGGAAGTATACATTGGTTTAGGACAGACATACACTTGCATTGATCTAAACATAGAATATGGGAAAATTCCTGCATACAGTTTCATGAAAACTGATACAACAACACATAAAATTAACCAGGGCTGCGTTACAACATACACTGGCACGCCCTTTCAATCCACAATGTTTAAATATTCATCTGCATTGTTATTTAATATAAGTCATAACTTTGGACATTTTCTTTCAAACGAAAATGGTCTCAGTTTTGGTCTTAAGACATATTCTAGAATTAAGACATTCTTTGGAAGCAGCCAAGCCTGCCTCATCTACCATCCCATGGTATAGTTTGATGAAATCTCAATTATGTAAAACGTTGCAGGCATTACTATTCTAAGGTTTTTTATCTTCATAGATGTAACCACTCATTTACTATCAGGCATTTTGTTCAAGTAGACATTATTGCACCAGCCATTATCACGGTGCAGAAACAACACTGTTTCCATATGGTCAAATTTGCGTCTCCTTACATCTCTACCAGTAAACTTTGGTTTCTTTCGGAAATTTAAACATGCTAGTCATTGAGTAGATGCAGAAAACCAATGAAAAATGTAACTAAGCTGTTTATGAAGTACATGTATATATGAATGACAGACCGGGCTTTAGAGAAGTTCAATGGGAAAATCTGTCTATATTACTTCTATATATAAACTAAATGCACTCAAGAAAAAGAACTCTTATATTTATATCAGTAAGTTTATTGATTAAATAATTAACACAAACATATTTGTTCCAGTTACCAATAGAGACATCAAATTTTGTATTGTAATTTATCACAATGTTTCTTGTTTGGTCAAATAAAAGAGTCATAAGTCATTTTAACATCCGTAAGTACATAAAATTCACACGTAATTTTTTTCTTGTTTGGTCAAATTAAAGAAAAGTCATTATACAAAGTTTACAAGAAAATTTATATATCTGTCAATTGTTGTAGTTATTTGAATGGCAAGTGTACACTTATAATTTCTGGAATGTACAAAAAAAATGTGGTCCCACAAGATTAATTAAATACTTTTCATTATGAAAAGAAACAAAAAAGAAACTAGGGTGCACAATTATCCTTTTAAAGATTTAAAACTTGAAATGATTAAAATTAAAAAAAATATTATGGCAGATTTTAGTGAAAAAATGTGATAAACGTTCCCTTAGTACATATTTGATATACATGTACACGCATAATATAGTCTTATAAAACATATGCATAGAAGAAATGATAAAGATGAAATAAACTATGTATTTACTACTGCTTTTGATTGTACACAGTTCCTACCTAACAATGTACACAAAGTACATGTGTCTAAATTTCTAAAACTCAAAAGGAATGAAGAATATGGTGAAAATATTGCAAAATATTGCAATTTAATACATTTTATTTCTCTCCAATGTTTGTAAAATAAGGTTCGACTTTTTTCCCCACTCATGCTGTTATAACACTTTTCATTGTAATAAAAAAAAAACATATACATGTACAGTTAACATCACAGTTCTTTGAAACAAATGGAATGTCAGTACAAATTTCACAAAAACAAGTTTGAGAAAACGTTAAACATTTACATTGAATAAGTCAAAAAATCTTAACATTTCATTTAACATCAAGTGGTAAACAGGAATGGATGAGCGGACAACCTGAATCTAAATCCCACAATGGGATCATGTATAATGCTGTACAATATCAAAAACTTGCATAAAGTAGTTCCTGAGAAAAACTTACAAAAATTTCATTATCGCATGACCAAAGCTAAAAAACAATTATTTAACAAATAAATGAAGAAATGCGATTATTTTTCCTCTTCCACTATGAATTATAATGCAATAAAAGCTTGTAATACCTGAAAACGCGAAAAAATTCAGATAATATTGCCATTAAGTAAAAAACTAACTAATTAACTAATGGAAAAACAGAAGTATGACGACAGATAAAATTAAAACAGAAAAAAAATCTGAGCCAGACTGTTTCAAATCTCTGAACGAACAATCAAGAATCTCTAAACTGATATGAATTACAGAATAAAATTTGGCCCAATATGACAAAGACGGTTTAATACATAAAAAATGCCATTACGAAATTATTATATTCTTTTGCTTTGTTGAATCAAGGTACGAAATTAAGTTAATATCTTGAGATTTTATCCTAGCGTAATTCTTCATTAAAAACTTAAGGAACAAAGTTTTTCATTCATCTTTTTTGCCATGCTTGAGGATTCTGGTGAATTCATTGTAGTCAAAGTTGCCCTTTTTGATTGGTGCTTCTCGGAACATTTCATCAACCTGAATAAAACGATAAATAATCAACCTTTTAATACCATGTTAAATCTCTTAAAGTAACACCACTTAGGTCTTAAAGCCTAAAAACATAAAATTTCAATTTCTTACATGAATGAGTTGGGACACTTAAAACCGAAAGATATACTTGTTTGACTGGATGTTATATCACACCGACACAGTATAGGTCATATAGCGACTTTCCAGCTTTACTGGTGGAGGAAGACCTCAGCCCTTCCATGCATTATTTCAGGCATGAATGGGCACCTGAGTAGAACCACAGATGTTCCGTAAGCAAGCTGGATAGCTTCCTCCAAAGTCTCTGTCAGGATTCAAACCCGAAGCAGTGAGGGGAAAGCGGTTTAAAGTATACTACCTTAACCACTCAGCCAAGGACGCCTCTTAAATTATATACCAAAGATAATTAAGAAATATACTCAGAAACAGATTTAAAATCACATTTGGAGTGAAAATGTTGCAACGCTTTCCATTTCTGGTAATTAGAATTACTATTCTGGAAACTATGGAGTGAGTGAATAATCTGAAAGTAATTAGTTTATTGGTCTAGATGTTCATGAAATGGACCATTAATCTTGAAAATTTATTTCAGTCCTGTCTTTTCAAAAACCTCAGTAGAGTACCTTTAAATGTAGTGACTGATTAGTAAATAACGTGGATCATGATCAAAAGGCATGCCGTTGCCTCCAGCAGTTCAGGTGTTAAAACAAAGAAAAATAAAGTACACAAAATTTTGTAATTTCATCATAACCTTTTTATTACATTTTTTACATCATCTATATCAAACTACATAAAAATGTTTATTTGTTTATTTCATCTTTATGAAACTACATAAATATGGGATCACTCAATTTCTTACTTCATCTGCTAGTTCACTTCCTACAAATACTCAAGGCATATGAGTAATCATGACCGAGAACTGGGTCATCCTCTAACCAATTATACTAGAGTTTGGAGGAAAACAAATTTGAGTCGCGTCACGACAAAACCAACATAGTGCATTTGCGACCAGCATGGATCCAGACCAGCTTGCGCATCCGCGCAGTCTGATCAGGATCCATGCTGTTTGCTATCAGTTTCTCTACTTGTAATAGGGTTGGTAAGCGAACAGCATGGATCCTGATCAGACTGCGCAGGCTGGTCTGGATACATGCTGGTCACAAACCCATTATGTTGGTTTTGTCATGGCACGGCTCATTTTGATTTTTTTGACATTATGCCTCTACTCCTCTTTCATATAGTATATAGTAAATTTATGTATACAGAAAGCTTTTTATTGGCAAGCTTTAAATTGAAAACCTACCTCATCATCAGTAAATCTATCTCCCATGGTTGTCATTAGTTCTCTTAGTCTTTCTTCATTGATGTACCCTACAATTATATAAATATCATATATATATTTATTTACATTTTCACAAATATAACATACTCTCAGTGATAAGAAATATTGTAACACCTTAAATAAAAATTTTCATGGGTGTAAAAGTGTAGTATCAACAAAAATATTAATATTATCTGTCATATGTTGCGGTTCGGATCGGAGGGACGGATATTACAATTTACATCATTACATCCGTAATGAAATTACTTCATTCATAACGGTAAAATTAAGTCATCCTACATTGTACAGCACAAGGCTCATATGGCACACCTGAGTCATCCCTCATGCCAGATGAAATTTCTGGCATTGATAAATCTAACAGAAACATCAGTCTGATATGCAAAAAAAGAAGAATGAATTTCATTCATTTAGTGGTTGAAATTAAATGGAATTGTTCCATTTTTTAATATTTATTAAAGTATTTAATAAATTTAATCAGCACCAACATGTTATTTTATACTAGCCCTTTAACTCAGCCTATCATACTGGTGCTATTTAAAGAGTCAATCAAAATTTCATTTCAACTAGTCGGTAGGTTAGGGTTTGATAAGTCAGCATAAATTCCATTAAATCTGTGATGTGTTTGCATCTATCCTGACTGATCTAATTTAATTAGAGCTGTCATTGATTCAGAGCAAAGAATATTGACGATATATCGATATCAACTCCTAATTTCTTGTATATAATACTTTTAAATACTTGTTTAAGTGATTTAAAATAAATGTTCTGTTCATGCAAATATGTTGTGTCCAGTTTGTAAATGACCTTTGCATGATCTTTTTTCAGACCATGTTTTGTCATCACTGTCATGAAATGTGTCCATTATGTAACAACAGATAAGTAATGGGCATGGCCACCAGCTTTTGTATATGTTTTAAGTGAATTTTGTATTCATAGACATTTAAATAATTTATCAAAATAATCAATTTTTTCAAATGTGTATCGATTATTGATCGACAGAAAAATATCAACGATACATTGATATCGTCTCTATCGATGACAGCTCTAAATTTAATTACTGCTGATTAACAAACATAACATAACAAACACTAACCTATACTTAAATCAAGTCAAAGTAAAGCTGAGTATATTTTACCTGCATTATTCTCATCAAAGCAAGCAAAGGCATTTCTGATCACATCTTCAGGGTCAGTCCCATTCAATTTCTCCCCAAACATGGTTAGGAACATTGTAAAATTGATTGGTCCAGGAGCACATGACATCATGTCCTCTAAATACTGATCTGTGGGGTCCTTACCTGTTGTAATATAAACAGAATTATCTCATTTACCAGTTTATGGAAGCTAAATTAACCTTTTAGGCTTTACTTCACAAAATTTGTATATTGTAATTAACCCTTTTTTTTGAAGTTGAATCAATAATTCAAATACTTAAAACCATACTGAAACATTTAGTCTAGTAACTGCACAGACAGTGTAAACAGAGAGTTAAACAAAATTATTACACATTTAGTTTAATAAGGGAAGTAAGAAACTTAGCTCAAACAATTCATACATATTATACTTGAGTAAGTTATGTTTGTATGATAAATATACATTTAATTTTAGCTAATATGCAAAAATTTACCTAGAGATGCCAACATGTCATGGAGATCATCTTTGTCAATAAAACCATCCCTGTTTTGGTCAATCATATTGAATGCTTCTTTGAATTCCTGGATTTGAGCTTGATCAAACATGGCAAATACATTTGAGGTGGCACGCTGGGCCCTCTTCTTGCCGGTAGTCTTTTTTGTTTTACGGCTGGACATCTTGATATCTGTTACTCTGAAATTAATTAGAGTGACCATTTATCATGTGTTGCCTGATGACAGCCATTTAATAATGTGTATTGAGGGATGATTGGATACTTAAACAAGGGCAACATTTTCGCAAAATACGCCCATCACAAAAGCTTTTGTCAGGGATGTGAGCATTGTAGATATGCCTATAGACCATATGCTCTGGGCAATATCTGCCTTTATCTGGATATTTTATCATCTCTAGTGACCTTGCAAATATTAACCTAAATTAGCCTAAATGGTCCCCGTACACAAACTTACCTCTCTATGTGACCTTGACTTTAGTAGCAGGGACCTGGATTATGTGTGCAACACCAGGTATATATATGTTAATATACGTACCTGGCAATACTTAGATTCACAATGGTAGTCATGATAATGACCATAAATGTGTTTCAATCATTTATTGACTTAATAAATGATGACTAAATGGTCTGAATACACATTTTCATATTTTATCAGAACTCTGACACCTATGTGTGACCTTGACAGCAGGGACCTTAATTTTGCATGTGACACACCACCTCAGAATGTGCCAAGTTATATTGAAATTAAATTGTTATAATTGCACAATCCATGTCTAGAAATTTTGGCTAGCTGTAAGCACATATGGCAAGCCACATTGTCCATAAAAAACAGTTTTACTTCAAGTTATTTTCTCTCTATGTATTTCAAATGATATAAATTTATATCGTCGGGTCATGTGTTTTGACGCTCATCTATTTTGACGCCATTTTTGTTTTGACCTAGCAAATGACGAAAACGACCTCGTATGACGTCATAATTTGCTGACTGCACTGCAAGCATGTATTTACAACGTATAACTAAAACATGCTAAAAGATACAGACATCAGTGTTCTAGATAATTATTTTTACTCAAGAGTCAATACTCTCTGTTTTTTATACTTCAGAGTAAACTGCCAGTTTCTGGCCAAATGAAGGAGTAAAATTGACTCTCAGTTTTAAGAACTTGGGAGTCAATTTGCCGCATATTATGATACGTTATATTTATACAGTACAGCCTAAAAAAATCAAAAACTGCTCTCAGATTTATAATTTATCAGAAATATTGCAGCATGGCAAGGTTTATTTATATTTAGATTTAAGGCATATTTTAAGAACTTGAACCATTTTTATGTGAAATGAAGTAAATATAATAATATACATGCAAACAGTTGTGACCCACACTGAATTCTTTTATTTAGCTTGTGGGCTAATAATCAACCATTTATGTACCAAATTACATGTTGAGATTACTGTTTTATTTTAAATTTAAAAGACAGTAAATTATCTTACATATAAATGAAATAGAATTAGGTGTGATGCATAACTTAGTGTCATTGTATTTTTTTTCTTTAAAAAATAGGAGCTAGGTACACAATAAAAGGTTGAAATTAATTTATTTTTTACTGTTCAATGTTAGACTTTTGGATGTTGAGAACCCGTTCTGTGGCCCATTTTCCACCCATTTTGTTGTTACAACACAAGGCACATTTCAAACGCACTACATCTGTCGTATCTGAGAAATCTTTACTCGTAGCATCTAATGAGTCGTATGAGTTTTTTTTCGCTCTTGCAAACAATAGTCAAAATTTCTTCAATAATTGGCTGAATTACACACTGAGAAGACACCAGGCTTGTTACACAGTAGAATGTGTCGATTTTTCGTTGTTTTGGTTTCGAACAAGACATTATCAATGTATACAACTTGATAATTTGATAAAATTGACAATATTTTATCGTCTACTTCAATAACGTGACAGACGCTTGATTTATCTTATATACATCTATTACCGAGCGTCTCAGTGATACAAAGTCGACTGGTTTGCAATTATAAACCCAGGCTGAGAAAATAACACACCTTTATAGAACAGTACGCTAACCAGTCAGTCATTTTTATCGGTGTCAATGTAAACATTGCCTACGCCAAATTTGTTTCACTAAATGCGTAAACTGTAATTATTATGCGTATATGTACGCCAAAATGATGACGAAGCTGGCGTATCCCAAGTATTTGCTTGCGTAAATGACGCCGATACGCACGCTATCTCTAATGCTGCAGACATTTCACTGAAAAGACTACACCGTTATCATATGTACTGTAGTTTTTCATCTTTTTACTAATGCAAATTCAATCGATGTTTATGCAAGCCATAATTTTGCAAATATAGCCTTTGAAAAATCTTGACCTGCACTTTTCTGTTTCTATCCTCCATTTTAAAATGTCTAATGAGTGTCATGTGACCAAAACTTTGCAAAGTGTCCTTAATATTCACTGTAGCATAAGGTGTACAGCTTATATTGTTTGAAAACGTTAATTGGTTTTTAATTGATACCGAGTAAAATTCATAATGGGTTAATAATTGTATATAAAGTTTAAAAAAGAAATAAAAAAAATCATTTTTAAAATCAACATATACACATCTTTACAACACCATTCATTTTAGATATATTTTTCAGTCTTTTAAGCCAAATACATATGCTATTCCTCAAGATTAATGGTAAATACATTAAAGGCTAAAGAAACAGGTGCACCTAATAAGACCACTGCCAGAGTGTGTGGCATTCCTAATTAATGGATAGTTTTATATGAAAAAATTATAATTTTAAGTTTTCACAATGTTGTTACATTGCAGGTTTGCTCATTTAAAACCTTCTTTTGCTGTTCATATTACATTATAGTGAAATATCCTTTTAAAATAACCACCCAATGAAAAGGCGTCATTTCATATGACTGTAAACAACAATGGATGCCTCCACGGTCTGTCTACTTAAGTACAAAACTTAACTGATTTTGGATTTTTAACAAACATAAAAATGGTTTGCAGTGATAAACAACATGCCATAGTAACTTTATATTGTATATTATTTAATGATCAAGTTCAATATAAAAAAAATGCATTAGTTAAACAGCTTAAGGGCGTCAAAACTAATGACTCTAGGATAATTAATCTATGCTAAGCGTACATATTCACTGCTCAGGTGTGACCGTTTTCTCATCTTATTACTAGAAATGGCACTCAACAATGCAAGTGACAAAATATATAAGTGCACATGCATCACTATAGTGCATTATATGCATGAATAGTTATTTAAAACATGGGTGTGGCTTACCTATCCTCAAAAAAATATGAAATTAGTGATTTTTTTTTATTTCAATCATCTTAACATTTACAGAACACAATACAGAAAGGAGAACTTAAATCTCCAAAAAATATATATAAAAGAAAATGTAAGAGCAATGTCAGCATGTAAGAAGACTCAGGATTGAAAATATGAATCTACTACAGAACCAAAATTATGACATGACTGAGATGACTTTGATTTCTGGAAGTTTTTCTATCACAAACACACAAGATCTAAGATAACTATTAATGAAAAATGTATGGATTTACCAATAAAAAATGTATTGAGTATTTCTGAAGCAAATATGAGGAAGAAAACGCGTCTTACCTTTCAAACTAAAAAATCTAAAGAATTTCAACCAGGAAATGACTAAGTTTGAGAAGACTGCGCGCACGCGCGTACGTAATGCACGACATTTATTTATTTAAAACATTAAATTAAGAATTTTGAAAAATTAAAATTATGATAAAGAGAAATGATTTTACCAGAAAAGATTCTTATTTTTAACTTAATATTATTTAAGCGATTTTTTTCTTAAAATGTTTGTACATTGAAATTTCAAAATGGCCGCTGTCTGCAAAATAAAAAAGAAATGAAATTGAAAAACTAATTTACTGACAAGTTTTTCATCTGAGGACAACAATGACAGATATCGATGACAAAATTTCTGCTCAAGTAGCAAACACTGTCGCTGAAATACTGGTAAATATATGAGGAATAATGATATGTTGGGAAAATGTTTCTCAAATGATCTTATCGTCCACAAACCTGTTCGTCCATAATTTAATGATTTACGTTAAATAACTTTATCAGAAAATTTGAAATCACATAGATTAAGGATATAATATGAAATTAGGCAAAGCCTATGAACGGGGAAGTCGTTAAAAAATTCCTTTTATTCTTTCCGTTTTAAATTGTCATTCGGTATTACATGGGAAAAGAGTCAACTCGGCCCTATACCAACTCGGCACGGGTCAACTCGGCCCACTTTACAAAAATATATATAACGTATTAACTTTGCTTTGCATGTTGTTAAGGTAAATGAATAATGAGAAATATCTTATTATTATATAATTTTACATTGTAGATCTACTTCTACGGAAATAAAGTATATTTAGAAAAAAAAAGTTATTTATTTGTCTTGCAGATTCGATAAAATTAATATAGATCTAATGAAAATGTGTTTCCTTAGATGCATTTTGTTAAAGTACTATTCAAAAAATAAGAAACAAAAACGTGTTCACTTAATATCATAAGCTTCTAATTAATTGCAGGTGGCCACTAATCAAATTTGAATGAATGAGTTAGTTGGACACTGAAGGTATTTAAATTTACGGTTAAACCTACCACGAGTCAGAAATACAGTGAGATACGCAATCAGTTATCTTTACTCACTATTCTACTGATAAGAAAGCCTGTCTGCTGCTAGTTCGGAAACTGTCAATCCATGGATTATAAATAATTACAATAATTACAATAAATAGTGATAACACAAACCTAAATATTATTAATTGAAAAGTGGGCCGAGTTGACCCGTGCCGAGTTGGAATAGGGCCGAGCTGACTCGGGGGCCGAGTACGATTTAGGGCCGAGCTGACCCGGATTCGTATTACATGCACCGCTTCCGTTTTCACTCGGAACACTCGACGTTTATTATTTATCCGAAAAGTTGAGATTTGTTCCGTTATCGGAATACACCGCCTTTTATCATTGAGTTACATTGTAAATGGCGGCGCCGACTAGAACTGACACTGAAAATTTCATTGATAGGTATAGAATTCTATATATTTTTTAATTATTTTTTATTTGATTTTCTTTTAAATATACACGTGTAGTCTATAGCCGGGCAAGCCAAAGCCCGGACCTGCTTCGCGGGCCCGGTCTTTGACTTCCCCGTATTAAAATCGATTTTTGCGCGTTTCTTAGCCCAACTTGACTTAAAACGTCCTTTATTTTATTAAAGGGTTATTTTCACAATTAAAATAATCTAAATGAACGGACAGAGAGAAATGATTTGAAATTGTGCACTCCAAATAACTGGCCCAGAAAGGCATTAACTGGTGCACAAATGACAAAAAATGGTATTTCTAATCATGCCAATTAAGTAATAATAATAATAATAATAATAATAATAATAATATGAAATTAGGCAAAGCCTATGAACGGGGAAGTCGGTAAAAAATACTTTCATTTTTCCGTTTTAAAGGTGTCATTCGGTATTATATGTACCCACTTCCGTTTTCACTCGGAACACTCAACGATTATTATTAATCCGAAAAGTTGAGATTTGATACGTTATCGGAATACACCGCCTTTTATCATTGAGTTACATTGTAAATGGCGGCGCCTATTTAGAACTGACACTGAAAATTTCTTTGATAGGTATAGAACTCTATATATTTTTTAATTGTTTTTTGTTTGAATTTTCTTTTAAATATACACGTGTAGTCTATAGCCGGGCAAGCCAAAGCCCGGGCCCGCTTCACGGGCCCGGACTTTGACTTCCCCGTATTAAATTTACATAACACCCATTCTAACAGCATGCAATTAATATGAAAAAGGCAAAGTCTCAAAGCGAGCTCGATTTTCTTTTACCATGAAAAAGTATAAAATAATCGTTATTTTTATGTTATATTTTCCGTTTTAAAATTGCCATTCAGTATTTTTATACACTGCTTTTGTTTATTCTGGTTCCCTGTCGTATTATGGTTCCCATCAAAGTGTGCAGGACACCAGTCTTCATTTCTGTTTTCAATCAGGATACCACGGCCTTTATCAATTACCTTGTAATTTGAAAAGTTGCGATGTGTCAATTCAGTACTTCTGACGAAAGTTTTTAAAACCATCACTATCTAGCAGGTACACACGTTACTGTAAAGCGCGCTATGCGAGCAGGCCCTTCAGGCCAGCTCTACGATCTTGCTAATACTACGAAGTCAAAGGCTTGTTGACCCGGGCTTTGGCTTGATTGGCTATAGATTTCTATACCCAACAGTGAAATTTTCAGTGTCATTTCAAATGGGCGCCATCATTTTAAAGTTTGCATTTATATTTTACTTTACATTTTCCATTTTATAGGTGGCATTTGGTATTTCATGCACCTCTTCTGTTTTCACTTGACGATTATTATTAAGCCTAAAAGTTGCGATTGTTCTGTTATCTGATTCTGAATACTCAACCGAATATCATTGTTTGATTGAGTTACATTGAAAATGGCAGTGCCTAACTAGACATGGCACTGAAAATTTCACTGATAGGTATAGAAATCTATATATTGATAATTGATTAATTGTTTTTTATTTGATTTTCCTTAAAATACACACATGTAGTCTATAGCCGGGCTTGCCAAAACCTGGGTCCTCCGCTTTGCGGACCCGGCCTTTGACTTCAACGTAATTATAGCCGTATTATTCCGGCTTAATAAATCATTGTGTTATTCCAACTGAAAACAGAAGTGGCACATGAAATGCTGAATGATACCTTAATACAAAAAATGTAAAATAAAAAATTTACAGATTTTTTTTTACTGACTTCCCCATTCATAGGCCATGCATACGTGCATTTTATGAATAGGGAGGCAAAGCCTCTAAGGAAACTCTGACAGAATTGAGTATGAATGTAAACTGCATGGCCTATGAACATGGAAGTCCGATAAAACAATTTTTTACTTTCAAAATACGGCCATGTTATGTTTTATAGGATATCTAAATTGAATCTAACTCACCGTAGCGCTTTCCTGACATGGCCAACATTTGGGTTTTCACATTTTTTAAAATATTTAAATGTTTTCATATAAACAGTACTATGTATATGTGCAAACATAGCACAATAATAACATCTTACAGAAACTGTAAAAAATATTGAGCCATGTATCTTCAATTAAATATCAAACTTAAAAATTACCTTAAAATTGCGATGTTTTGCGAAATTTCCAAATCCACAATGAGTAAAGATACATTAAGTTCCTTGTGGCAATGCCATTCATAAAAAAGTATTCCTAGCAGGTTTAAACTTTGAAATCCAGTGATCATATTACATTTGTCCCATATTGAATATAATGTCCCATGTATGCATATTCTAACTAAATTTTAATACAAATAATGGAAAAGTTTGTGTGTAAACAGAAAAATGTTGCATTTTGTAATTTTACTGATGGACATATTTGTAGTGAGTTGAGATTATTACACATAAGTCATGAATGTTTGATTTAATTTCAGAGAGGTGAAGCTATAGAAGAAGGTTTTGCTGGTTATATCAAGCATACCCCTCAATCATTACAGAAAAAATATGAATATAACACAGAACTGCTTTCAAAATTATGGACAAATATTCCACAGGTATAACCAGTTTTTACAGTATGTTTGTAACAAATGAATCTAAATTATTGTTTATGAAATTGAAATGGTTATTTTTCTTCTTTTGCAAAAAAAAAGAAAAAAGAAAAGTTTTACAGTGAAAATTATTCCATTTATTTTTGGCTAAATTTTATTGATTTTTGATGTTATGACATAAAATTTAACATTGGTTGCTTATATGATAAAAACTTTTTGAAGGAGATATTCATACAGTGCAAGGATTATTTTGGACATTTGTCCTTTAAATGTATGTTGTTTCTTTTGTAAAATCAATGAATCAAAATTTTTAAGGATGAGTTCTAATGAAAATTTACTAAGTCATATATGTTCATGGTACATTATAGTCTCCAGTGTAATTATATTTGTTTCTGTCTTGTAGGAAAGCCATAGTGTGGGACTTAAAACTTATATTAATAGTTACTTTGATGTGAAGAATGTCAACAGGGTTGATCTATTGGCCAGTTTGTTACAAACATTGGCGGAGAAAAATGTTTTACAATCAAAGTAAGTGAAATTATGTCTCTGAATGTACCAGTATAAGTTTGATTAACATATATAGTTTTAGATCAGTATTTGAGTAGTGAATTTTAAAGTAACTTATCACAAAGAGACTATGTAAAGAATGAAAATCTTCATTGTGTATTTTTCACTGATTAAGATTTTTTCTCGTTTTCCCCTGTGTCATATTATATATCAAATTTTATAATACTGCAAGTTTGTAACGTCATTTTTCATTGGATAATCGTGACGTTTATATAGTTTTATATACATGGCTGCTGTCAATTCATGAAGAAATCTTACTTTTTTCTCTAAAAATGATTTTTGCTGTATTATAAATTCGTATAAAGATTGTTGACAGGTTATATGACCGTATATAAATGGCTGTTTGCAATATTACCCTCGCCTAACGGCTCGGGTTATATTTACAAATAGCCATTTATATAGGGCCATATAACCTGTCAACGGTCTTTATAACTAATAATATATATATAAAATTTGTGGATATTTCTGTACAAAAAAATGAAATTTATTATGATCTTAAAGCTACATTAAATAAATATATTAAAATATTTTTGCCGTCGGCCTAAAAGCCAAGCATTCTACAGTTTCATTAACCTTTTTAACAGTATCGTTGTAAATCTCATCAAATATTGTTCATAAATTAGGATTTTAAATGGAAAACCCCACGGTAACACTAAAGTTCGTATACGAATTTTAACATGCAAATGAAGACTATAATCAGCTCGTGTATGCGCTACGTCACGGTGTTATAGTTGCTATCCGGAACACAGCAAATATAAGATTTTCTTGTGCAAACACACTTTTACCGTTTAAGCTTCACGGTGCACGAGGCCTGTGGTTCAGAAAAATGAATCATCTCATAAAAAAGATTAAATTTGTATGAAAATATCCGTTACAATGCGGAAATATATCGTTAAATTAGGATTGCTACTTATAGTCATGTTTGTTGATTTAATATTGATGTACGAATGATCCGAAGGCGGAGTTTCTCATGCAAACAGAAATTGTACTACCGAATTCGCCACAATGAGGTTGCACATTTGTATGCTCATTAAACTCATTTTGGTTGTCTGGACACCAAAATAAGATCTGGAGTCAATATGAAACCCAATTTATTAATGAAATGTCGCTATTTCTTTTTTATGAAATTTATTTAATGTAACTTTAAGGGGTAAGTTTAATATTAAGCCTATACACAGTTGTATGAGTAATATTTTGATAGATCCATTAAAAGCTGTCCAGTTTAAGTCTTATAAATATGTAATGCAATAAATGTGAAAAAGACATGAGTTATTGCTCCTGTTTAAGTTTAACATCAGACCAGGCTACTGTTTGTCTCTGAGCTGTAAAGTTTGCTTTCAAATTGCTTAAATTTATAATAAATTGAAAATTGACTTATAAAATCAAAGCAAGACACATCTTTTACATGAATTCTACAGGGTGAAGGTAATTGCACATTCTTTTGATGTTAATGTGTTGACCGTCACTGCTGTCTTACAAATATGTTGAAAACTCTCTTTGGTATAAATGAAGTTATTGCCCTTGATATCCAATAGTATATTCATTATAATGAAATGATCAAATTCATGTTTAGGCAGCTACTTGCTTTTGGAAGATTTGTATTTTACCCCTTTATACACAATAGGCCTTTCTCAAATTATATGCATACTTTACATTCCATCACCAGAGAGAGGCTAACAGGGCATGAATGTAAACAAATAATGTCTGACCTGATAAGCCCTAGTGTGTTAAACTTACTGGGGAAATCTCTTTTTTATTCCACTCTGTTATTCTAATTCTAGTTATGATTATACCGTTAATTTTCATAAAATACCTAAGGATGTGAGTTTGATAAAGGAAAGGATTGTGAAAATAAGATGGATGAAAGAACATTTCAAGGTAAAATACCATTGTTCTTTTCTTTTTAAACCAAGCTACTTAAGATGTATTACTACTTACAATTTAATTACCCTGATTTCTCATTGTTTTAAATGTTTCATTAAATTATAAACATAATTATATGTTTTGTTCATCAATTTAATTTAATATATCACATTTATAATGATAACATTTCAAACATGATTGCTTCAGAATCTAAATCAATACCGTTTTTATACTAAAAAGCAATAACGGTTATTTTATGTACTATTTCAGATCCAATATTTTGCTATAGTTGCTCGTTTTGAAGCATTTCACACAATAAGATTAACAACCATGGACATAAATTCATATATGTCTGAAGAGAATAGATGTACCCTGTAGATGGTTCGACTGGAGTAATAATGAACAGACCAGTAAGATGAACACTAAAGAAGAAGATTTCATTACCTAATGAAAGGTATACACCAGACTTTATTTTCATTTTTTACACATAAACAAAGTTCTGCCCCTGTAAACAAATATATGTGCAATTAAAATATAAATTGATATATTCTAGAAATGTCATAATTCTTGTTTCCACTTCTAAATGAAATGTATATATTTTTCAGGAATTCCATTGGTAACAGTCATGAACACAAATTGACAACTGGTATTTGAATCGCCTTTAATTGTAATACCTCTTCATGGCAGTGGCATAACAGATGAAAAAGAAACTATCAAACATTTCAAAGAAGAATTACAGACCACACTAAGGAAGAAAACAAACAGTGATATTGAACGTTTGATACAAATAAATTTTCAAATTTTGACAGTTGTATGTCTTGTAGTGTTATACAGGACTTCCAGCAAAATTTACTTTATATTCATTACAGTTTTCATTGTTATAAAACATCAGCAAAAACATTAAGAGCGTTTATTATGATGCAAGCAAAACGATCAGCTTGACTGATGAATGTTTTTTTAGCATATTTTAAAGGACCATTTGTTCAGTCTTTTGCGTCTTGAATTTAAATAAAAACTTAAAAAAAGAAAGCATCGCATTACTTTGTTTTTAACATTGTGCTTTGTTACATATATGGTACAGCTGCAGGGAATATGTCAACATGTTAATTACATTTAATATGTTGTCCTTTTATTGCATTATATTGTTGAGAGAATATTTCTTGGAATGTTAAAAGAAGTGCTAAAACTCGATGCAGCCTTTCCTAACACCCTCCAACTGCAAGGTATTGCACAGGTTTTCTGCGAATGTTCAGTCCCCTAAGTACATGGAATATTTGGGGTTGGTAAGTCTAGGCAACATCCTCTGGAAGTGCCATGTTCCCCAATGATTTGTTATATACCAGCCAGTAGAGGGTTCCATTAATATGACCACATAATCAACTCAGACCAACTGGACAAGTGCAATAATCTAATGATACTTCAGCTTCGTCTTAAGATTTGACTGATATTTGCAATTAAATGATTGTATTTCGTTATATACTAAATATTTTATACTGTATAATTAATTACCTAGTTGATAATATATACGTTTTACGTTCTTTACTTAGCATGAAATGTATTTTTACATTGCTGTAAACAATATCATGTGTTATGATACTGAAAATCCATTGAAATTAATGTATAAGACTGAGTGTCATGTTAAAACAAAATATTATTTTGATTTGATAAGGCTGTCTGTAAAATTAACCAGTCTCTAGAGAGTCATCCAGAATTTTTTACTTTTAAATACAAAGTGAATAAAACTTTTTTACACTTTTTTTATTTCAAATGCTAAATTTAGGGGAAGTATGGTACAGAATTCAGCATCCAACTGTTTACATCTATTATCAGTTAATTGCTTTATACACTCTTGACCATCATGTATTTAGGTTAGCAATAAAATACTGATAACGCAGATAATGTCTATTTAAGTTGCAAAGAATTTACCTGATATTTATACTGACAAAGAATATTAGAAATTACTTGGAATTATCATAAACTTTAATTCACTTATCAGGTCTTGTATATTCTTCACTGTATATAGTGTAAATTAAACCCTTTGTTGATTTATTTATCTCCAGAAGAGATTTTTGTAATATTAAATATAGTTCTCAACAAGTATGTAGCAAACAGAACATTATCAAGATCTCTGACACTGTAGAAAAATCTTTCGGCCATATATTCGTGATATGTTTACATAAAGCAGATACCGAAGCTTGCCCTGTTAGCCTCGTTCTGAGAAATCTATGAATATGTATGAGGTAATATTAAGAAGGGTCTATATGGATAGAAATGTATATATTTCATTTGTGCTTCTGCAACCATATACATGTAGTTATATTCATTAATTAAACATGTATAAATATGTTGTGAATAAGGATAAAATACCATGTTTAAACATAGAACTTTATTTCTTATTTGACAAGGTTGATCTGTGAGACATTGCTGGACCATGAGAAGATGGTGTATATGAATGTTAAACCTTTCATCAGAGCCTTCCAGCTAATCAGAAAGCTTGTGGGAGGAGTTGACTACAAGGTAAACACACCCATTCCTCTTTTCTTTCAAATGAAGATACAAACTTTTTCAAAACATACAGAAAAATTTGCTATTTTATATTCAGTCAAATACAGGTTATTTCTCAGTATCTAAGAATACTGTCTTTGTGTCATTTGTCCAGCTGGTATTAAAGTTCAGTTTTTGAAAGAGATGATTTTTAACTTAAGAGTAAGGTGAGGAATCTATCAGTCTAGCTTCAGGAATGTCAGTGGTTCTACTCAGGTGCTTGTGTGTGACTGAAATAATGTATGGAGGGGCATCTGAATGCAACATGACCCTCCTCCACTTACTTGAAATTTATAGTTTTACCAAAGTGCATATACATGCACATTTCATTGTCTTAGAGTGAGACTGTTGTAGGCGAGTTTCAGTATTGAAGTAGATATAATATTATTGAATTACAGTGATATTTCTTTTTTTTCCTACAAGTTATTGGGACTTTATCCTAATCGGTCGAATAAAGACAAAATGTATTTCTACCCTCACTGAATTGAGCTTAAGCATTTATAATTTCTGTATATCTAGGAGATATTTTTATATATCATAGGTAAATAGCTCTAGCACACATAATTTCTGCTTGTCTAGGAGTATGGAGATATTTTTATATTACAGGGTTGTCGTGACTTGTTGAGGATGATATTACATAATCATAACATTGAGACACAAAATGCTAATATTCTACCCCAAGTCGAGGCCATGATAGCAGTAAGTGGCTAAAATATTAGTTACGTGTAATAAGTATATTAAATATAGTATAGGGAATTATTGCCAATGACAATTTTTCATTTCAAAGCTATATTTTGGTAACTGTACATAATAAAACTGATGAAATGTTTGATTATTTTACATGTGCTCTAGAGAAGTCCTGTGGAAAAAATCAGTCTGTTTATTTGTCAGTCATTAGTAATTCTAGGGTATTATAATGAGCTTTAGCAACACAGCATTTCTATAATTGTCTCCTCCTGCTTCAAATATAGTACTGAAAAATTGTGGGTTTTACAGGTTAAGATTTAAATAACAGAAGATAAATTTCAGTAACGAGCAATATTGTTTGGTCAAACAGCATTAATGATCAGACTGTGTCAGATCTGGGTGGTTGCATAGACAAGTCATTTCATTTAATTAGCAAATAAAACAATTTAATATTGTATTCAGATTATTGTGTAGTTAAGAAATACAAAGTTAATGTGCTTTGTTTTGTTTTCAGGTGGTAGCATATATTCTTGACCGCAAGGTATGTCTATTACCAAGCTACCTAGCGGTCAATGAGATTACCAAGATGAGCCCTGAAATAAAGAACTGGCCTCATTGGGTAAGTTTAACTGTCTTACAGGTCATTAACCATTAACCTGTTAACCTGCAAGTGATAAACTGGCCAGGCTCTATACTGAGGATAGCTCACTTATTGTAGTTTGATATTGATAGTAGCAGTCATATGACCTATACTGTGTTGATGCGCCTTAAAACCCAACTGCAAAAAAATAAATGGATATTGAAATCTTGTTTACATTAATTAGACTGTTCCAAAGAGAAAGCTTGGAAAATCCATTACACATATTCAGAAGATAAATGGCTAGAATTTCAAGCTAAGCTAATTTCTAGTTTGTGGAAAAGCTAATTTCTAATTTCTATTTCTAATTTCTGTAAGCTTTGGTTCTATTTGTGCCCATCATACTTTAAATACTACTTAATTGGGCATCATAGGTCGTCATAAACTTTCACCAGAAAGTCTGTAAGTTGCTGCATTATCTCAGACCTACAATGAAAAACAAGCAATAACTCTTTTCAGTTGACTTTTAAGTAAGACTAATCATTTTCATAAAGATGTGTATGTATATACTGGCATAAATTTTAAATTTGTTTAAATATTTATCAAAAAAAAAATACATGTGATGGAGACAGTAACAACTTTGCAATGTATTTTCATACATATGAACTCTACCACTTTTAGCGGGAGACTTCCACTTTCTTCGGCCATATTTTCAAAGATTTTTCTTAAAATAAGGGGTATTTTCACAAATTAAAGAAATCTCCCTCTTTTTGGTGTCGGAACTTTCTTCTTTGTCGGAACTTTCTTCTTTGTTTATTGCAAATTCTAAAATCTCCCTCTTTTTCAAGAAAAATCTCCCACTTGATCATCAAAAAAAGTTCATATGTATGTATTTTATATAAGTACATTTGTTACATTGTATTTACAAGTGGTTTCATATCTCAGTGATATTTGAATATAAACAAAAATTGAAATCATGCCTTATCAATATCATAGATGTACATTTGTTTTAGAATAACAGAGTTTTTTTTAAATCAATCTGAAATGTTTTGTTTGATCAAATTATAGGTTAGATAGCTTACTGCTAGCACTTTTATATGTCTTCTAAAACAATTTACGTAACCAGAAGCCCTCCAAGTTCTGTCATTTTACTGCAATTTTGTTTTGTTTTTCATTTTAGTCATTAATGAAATTGTTTGTGTATTATTTTATACTGTATTGGTGATGAGTTAATGTTAACATCAAGTTCTTTAATTGTTTCATACAGAAGATGGGCAGGTTGCTGTCAGAATTTGTCTACAGTTTCAGACCAGTAGCTCAGATGGTCACAATATCGGGTATGTAATGTACTTAGTTTTTCCCATTAATACAGTGTTACTGTTTACCAAAGTCTGTCTGTCAAACTCAATAGGGGAGCAGCTGATTTACTGACCCTCTGGCAAGACAAAATTTCTCCCTGACAATCGATCTATAATATTGAGTTCAAGGGCTATTTGTCTTGCACAGCTGATTCAAAAATCATTTGATAAATTGATATTAATAACCAGTAGTATTTGGTCACTTGCAGAAAAATTGTCTTTAACTGGTTAGTTATCCAGGAAAACCAGTAAATTGGACCCACAACTGAGATATGACTAGAATGAAATGACATTTTGCCTGCCAGCACATCACTACTTTCTTGCCCAACTCAGTTACTGTTGTTTACAAACTTTAAGTATTCTTGATTATTAAAATAGAACACTATTTTGATGGGAGATGGTCAAACACTTAGACAAAATATTTAAACTTTAGCACAGTCAGAATTCTTGAACAGTATATTCATCTCTTAAATATATTGATATGAAATTTTAAGTCAGAGGATGTATTCTTATTCATTTGTTATGATAAATTTATATCATGTATTTTACCCATCCAAATTAGAGTAATCCCCTCTTTATATTTTGAACTACTCATCGATTATTTAAGGATTTCGTTATCAAAATTGCTAATAGTGATCAAGCAAATGTGCAGGAGCTGGTCTAACTGCAAATTAGTACCATTTATAAATGTAAAACAAGTTTATGTCAGACATTCCTTTTGTATTTTAGGGAGATCCTATCTGTTGCCGGTAGTTGGACATTCTGTTGCCACAAATAATGTGTGGAGATTGAACTCGAAAGATCTGAAATTCTCACTCAGTGGACCTCTGCCTTACAGTAGGGTGAGTATTTGTATATGAAATACAATCATTACACTTTGATATCAATACCAACCTTTGAATATTAAAATCAAGATTGGTATAAATTTACAGTGGTGTTAAACCTGAAAAGATTTTGTAACCATGCGATTAAATGGTTTTACCACACTTGTCTTTAATATAAAAATAGTGATCTATGAAATGTTAACATGCTACAGTTACTCACTTTGGTGGTGGTGGTGTTGGCAGTTTTCACTCCGGATCAAGACAGTAAGCGACATTGAATTCACCAGAGCACAGTTCAACCACCGCATCACTTTTCTACACTTGTTTATTTATAATCTTAATCTGAAACTCATATGATAGACAGAGATGAGTATGTGTTATTTGATGTATCTAGAGGTAGCAGTTTTTCGTAACCATAGACATTTTTAGTAACAATTAGATCTGTGTCTTGGAAGGTGTTTATTTCTAAGACATAGGGCATTTCTAAATTCTTTAACATTAGAAAGATAATAAGTAATTTTCAGTTAGAGCAATAGGAAATGTAACTCACAATTCTTTATTTAAAGTCACGACATCCAGAACATGTAGTCACAACATCCAGTACATGTAGTTATGACATCCAAAACATGTAATCATGACATCCAGAACATGTAGCCATGACATCCTGAACATGTAGCCATGACATCCAGAACATGTAGTCATGACATCCAGAACATGCATTCATGACATCCAGAACATGTAGTTATGACATCCAGAACATGTAGTCATGACATCCTGAACATGTATTCATGACATCCAGAACATGTAGTTATGACATCCAAAACATGTAATCATGACATCCAGAACATGTAGCCATGACATCCTGAACATGTAGCCATGACATCCAGAACATGTAGCCATGACATCCTGAACATGTAGTCATGACATCCAGAACATGTAGTCATGACATCCAGAACATGTAGTCATGACATCCAGAACATGTAGTCATGACATCCCGAACATGTAGTCATGACATCCTGAACATGTAGTTATGACATCCAGAATATGTAGTTATGACATCCTGAACATGTAGTCATGACATCCAGAACATGTAGTCATGACATCCTGAACATGTAGTCATGACATCCTGAACATGTAGTCATGACATCCAGAATATGTAGTTATGACATCCTGAACATGTAGTCATGACATCCAGAACATGTAGTCATGACATCCAGAACATGTAGTCATGACATCCTGAACATGTAGTCATGACATCCAGAACATGTAGTCATGACATCCTGAACATGTAGTCATGATATCCAGAACATGTAGTCATGACATCCTGAACATGTAGTCATGACATCCTGAACATGTAGTCACGACATCCCGAACATGTAGTTATGACATCCTGAACATGTAGTTATGACATCCTGAACATGTAGTTATGACATCCTGAACATGTAGTTATGACATCCTGAACATGTAGTTATGACATCCTGAACATGTAGTTATGACATCCTGAACATGTAGTCATGACATCCAGAATATGTAGTTATGACATCCAGAACATGTAGTCATGACATCCAGAACATGTAGTCATGACATCCAGAACATGTAGTCATGACATCCAGAACATGTAGTTATGACATCCTGAACATGTAGTTATGACATCCTGAACATGTAGTTATGACATCCTGAACATGTAGTTATGACATCCTGAACATGTAGTTATGACATCCAGAATATGTAGTTATGACATCCAGAACATGTAGTTATGACATCCAGAACATGTAGTCATGACATCCAGAACATGTAGTCATGACATCTAGAACATGTAGTAATGACATCCAGAACATGTAGTCATGACATCCAGAACATGTAGTCATGACATCTAGAACATGTAGTCATGACATCCAGAACATGTAGTCATGACATCCAGAACATGTAGTCATGACATCCTGAACATGTAGTTATGACATCCTGAACATGTAGTTATGACATCCTGAACATGTAGTCATGACATCCAGAATATGTAGTTATGACATCCAGAACATGTAGTTATGACATCCTGAACATGTAGTCATGACATCCAGAACATGTAGTCATGACATCCTGAACATGTAGTCATGACATCCAGAACATGTAGTTATGACATCCTGAACATGTAGTCATGACATCCCGAACATACTCCCATTTTTATTGCACACCTCCTGTCTGTAAAGATTCTGCTTAAGTGTCCACTCCTATATGGTGTCTTACTTCACTACAAAACATACTAAGAAAGTATCAATATGCGGGCATAATGCAGCATACCTTCTCTTTGTGCCAAAACAGAGTAAAAAGCATAACAATTTGAACAGATTTATTTCTCTTTAGACTGATTCCAGGTTTATATAGATAAATTACTACTTGTTTTCAGGAGGTACAGGAACCCCAGTCTGGGTTGCTACGTTATGTTTTAGAACAACCTTACTCACGAGATATGGTGGGCAGTATGCTTGGACTGAACAAACAGGTATTGTTTATTTTTGTAACACTTTGATAACAAGCTTTGTGTAGAATTTAAAAAAATACATGTTATATCTTATATATGGTGTATCTTATGTACATTTAAAAATTGTCAATTCAAATAAGTACATGTAATAGATTCTGATTTTCATTTGTTTTTAGTATGTTTCTTTTATCATACTTTCTTTTATTATACATGTACTTGACATTATATGCTTGACATTCTTTTTAAACTGTCTAGAAGTTAATTTGTTTTTAGCTGGACTATCGGAGAGAGTCTGGACTATTGTAATCACCCAAGCTTTGGCGCCATACTTTGGTTAAGTTTAAGAACCGGTACTCTGCATTTCTTATTTTTTGAGTTATTGCCCTTTGTTAATTTTCATATTTCATATTTGTCCTGGCCATTTCTCCTAAACTATATTGTTCACCAGGCGACACATCCGACTCGCAGAGTTGTAGTTTAAGGCCAAATTGGCCGTCACTGTGAAATCTCTTTACTTGTCTTTACATATATACTTAAGACATTCTGCCTTCTATTTGATACAGGTGAAACAAAGGTGTGAAGTTCTAGAGGAACAACTGGTGAACTTGGTAGTCTCCGCCATGGAACATTCAGAGAATCTAGATTCCTCGGCAGACCCAGGTTTGAGCCACCTCCTCTGGCAACACCTATCAAGTCAGCTTATATACTTTGTGTTGTTCCAGTTTGCATCATTCCCACATATGGTTATTTCATTATATGATAAAGTAAGTACAATGTACATGTAAAATCAAAACATCTGGCACATATTGTCTGTCATATCAAATAAGATTGTAAATTAGAAATGTTTGTACAACTCAAGTCAGTATGTGACGTTTTATCCTGTGATATATATATCTGTGTAACAGATATATGTAACAGATTGGACGCTGATTTCAGGGAAAATGAAGAAGTTTTTTTATATATATAAATGTAATTAATTGTGAAATGTATCACTAAGCCTATTAATCATGTAAGATCAAAAGTTGAGATAAGAAGTTGATTTTAGCACAGCTGTCAGATAAAAGTTAATTGCTTTATTTTTCTATAGATATATTTCCTACAAGGTAAATGTACTCATAGAATATGTAATTAATCATTTTAACAGCTGTTTTTATGTATAGTGCACATATGGCATACGGGAGAAAAAAGCAAAAGTTATTTTTCAATGATGTGTTGTAATACATGCTTAGGTTACTTTTGATACATAATTATTATTTCATAATTTAGTTGAATTTAGTATAGATATAAAATTTGCCGTTATTTCATTTCTGAAAACTTTTGATACAGATGTCAAAGTAGAAATAAAAACTTTTCATTCAGGTCTACATTTGTTATTATCTATATAAGGGACCTGAGGTGAAAGGAATTTTGATATATTTGTATAAAATCATTTCGTACTGTTTCTATTTCAGTTAAAAGATAGAAAGTTGAACAAAGGGAGGGACCATTTAATGTGGGTTTTGCTACAGTTTATCTCTGGAAGCATACAGAAAAACCCTGTAAGTACTGTACCCACTATAGTCAAACCTGTGTGTAAGAGGTTGGAGACAACTTCTGAAAAAACACAGCTGTGTTATATTATACAATTATTGACTAGTGAGCCATTGAATATGATGTGAAACTCACCAGCAGTTGACATATTGACCTAGGCAATAGCCGAGGTCAAGTGACTTTCTGCCGGTTAATATCACATCATATTTAATGGCACACTAGTCAATAATTGTTTTATTATATGAATAGGCTATACAAATTTAATAAAAAAATCACAGAAAGTACAACCTAATACATGTATGTTTCATTGAAGCGCGGAAAAAACAACTACGCGACGCAGCGCATACAAAAGTAATTCAAGTTTATACTCACCATTGCGGTGTAACTTTTAACTTTAATAGTAAAGTAATGATATTTTAATCGAGAAATATACCATAAAGAACAAAACGCAACAATTATTTTTTTAATAATCACGGGTACTTAACAGCATTTGATATATGGTCATTGAATATGAGTCTCAATCTATTTTTAGATTGGGAAATTCTTATTTAGCCAGTGAATATGATACTACAATCAGTGAATATGATTCTATAAAAAGTCCTGTTGACTACTGTTTGGACCAATGAGATTGCAGCTATATTTAGATCAATAATGATAATATTGAAACACTGTTGGGAAAAGGCGTAAAATGAAACAAACAAATAATCAATAATAATAAATATAACGTGTAATTTTAATACATGCTGTTCCCATAATAATTATTACCTCCCCTGGCTGCCATTTTTAGGATTATATTCCTAAGATAAGATAAAAATCTCTCATAATTCTTTCATCTTCATGAAAAATGGGATAAAAACTTTAACATATTGGTACATATATAATATTTTCCCTTATATGTATTAAAGAATTTGATAATGTTAGTATCATTATATAATATATAGAATATTGACCCCCAAAATGGCTGCCACTTTTTGGCATTGTAAAAATCAGGAACTATCTATAGATATAAGAATTTAATACCTTAAACCTTATGTAATACTACTTGTGTTAGTTATAAAAATATGACCTAAAAGATGCAAATTAGTTTGTATACAAGTATGATTTAAGTAAATCTTTATATTATATTAAAGTGTCTGAATAAGGTTTGTTATTTGTTAACTAAATGTTATATACTATATAATTGATATATATTTTTATAGTTGAGTGATTTTCTGCCAGTATTGAAGCTGTATGATTTACTGTACCCTGACAATACAACTATAGCCGTACCAGATGTCTCGAAAGCTAGCTCCACCCACACTGTGGCAGCTACGTGTATCTGGATACATCTGAACATGAAGGCCAATACGGACAATGTACAGTTACAGAGACCAATACCACATGCTCTAAGAGAACACCAGGAGGCACTCGGACAACATCTAGAGTAAGTTTGATATAAATATACTTGTCTTAAATACAGTACATGAATTGTTACATTTTGTAGTCATATTTTGGTTGCAATCATTTTTGTTCTGCAAGTAATTTTGTAGTTGAAAAAGGCACCTACATGAAGTTGAAAAAACACACAAGTATTTAAGCAGCTTTGAGGAAAATCCTCTGCTTAAAATTCCCATTTTATTAAAAGTAAGTGAAATGTTCCAAAATAATGGTATGAAAATGCAGCATTTGATAGAGTACAAGAAACAGTAGTCAGCACCTGAATTATTAAATATCAAATTAGTAGAGAGATTTACAAAAGTCAAGGACTTCCTTCTCAATCCTATTTCTTAATTGTTGTGTGTTTTGTTATGCCCCCGCCATGTAATGGCCGGGGCATATAGTGTTACCCTGTTCCGTCCTTCCGTCCTTCCGTCATTCCGTCATTCTGTCATTCCGTCATCATCAGTTTCCGTTCATTATCTTAGTAACGGTTGCACATATTCAACTCAAATTTGACATATGGATATGTCATCAGAAAATACAGGTCAAGTTCGAATTTGGTCATGGTTCGATGATTTTTGCCAGAGTTATGCCCCTTTTACTTTGAAAATAATATGAAATTTTCAGTTTCCGTTCATTATCTCCCCAACGGTACAACATATTCAACTCAAATTTGACAGATGGATATGTCAAGAGAAAATACAGGTTAAGTTTGAATTTGGTCATGGTTTGATGATTTTTGGCAGAGTTATGCTCCTTTTACTTTGAAAATAATATGAAATTTTCAGTTTCTGTTTATTATCTCCCCAACAGTACAACACATTCAACTCAAATTTGACATATGGATATGTTTTTGGAATGCCCAGGCCCAGTTCGAATTTGTTCATTGTTCAATGATTTTTGGCAGAGTAATGCCCCTTTCACTTTGAAATTAATATGAAATTTGCAGTTTCTGTTCATTATCTATCCAACAGTGTTACATATTCAACATAAATTTGACATATGGATATGTCAAAGGAATGGGCAGGTCAAGTTGGAATTTGGTCATGGTTCAATGATTTTTTTGGCAGAGTTATGTCCCTTTCACTTTGAAAATAATATAGATACATCTTAGGAATAAGCAGTTTAAGTTTGAATTTGGTCGTGGTTCAATGATTTTGGACAAACTTATCTTTCTTGAATATTGGAATAATTTTGAACTTTCAGTTTCAGCACTCATACTTTTGTGGAAATGTATGTAGCCATTATTTTGGCTACAAATATGAAATATGCTATTTTCAAAAGGTTAACACTGAATAATTTCAGTGCCTTGAACATTGTATGGAAATGGTTTGTGTTAACATTGAAAAGTTTTAAGGGCTTTGAACTTAAAATGAAAACAATAATTTGTGCAAACAAATTTGGAACTAAATATTATAACATCTGAAATTTTGGCTGCATGCGGGGGCATCCGTGGCATGATGACACATTTCTAGTTTATATACTTATGTATGTAAGTAATGAAATTAATATTTTTTTAACTAAATATCAAATTAATTGTTAGCTAGACAATGTTAGGACTAGGGAGACTTATTGTACTCAACCTGGCATCTAGATCACTCTCCGGGTAAGTTTTTGTGTGAGCCAGGTCATTTTATAATTGAAGAAAAAAACAACAAATAACAAACAAGACAAATGAAAATAATCAACTGTAACTGATAAATACATGTTTACTTTCAGGAGTTTAAAACAGAATTTAGGAAACAGAAGTTTACCAGGGAATGACTACAGAATCCCATTACTCTGTAATGCTTGTAAGTAGTTGTTTATACATTATAGATACAATTAATGATGATTTTATTGTTAAAACTATTTTGCAACTTGTTTTTCACAGAAATGAATGTGTTTTATTGAAATAAGAATCTATTCTCTGTTAAGATACTTTTAGGCAGTTTTTGCATACACTAGTACTGAAATTTTATTATAGAACTTGCCCAGCATTGATTTTAGAGCTGTCCATTTTTAAAGGGTTTCAGTTTTTAAAGGGCTATTTAATTCAAGACCCAAAAGTAAAATGTCTACAAAAAAAAAAGGCTGACAAGACATTGTACTGATGGCTGAAATAAGTCATCAGGAATTGTCAGAAATGTAAGAAATTAGAATATATGTAATTGAATTATTAAGTACAAAGTAAAAATACCTGGAAAAAACCAAACATGACCTCATTTTAAAAACTAAATATAAGTATTCGTGAAGCTTCCATAATTAAAAAAAAAATATATGCATATACCATTTTGCTGTTAGATTATGGGAAGCAAATTTGTGTAATGTTCCAAAAAGGACTATACATGTCTATAAGGGTTAAAAAAATGTAATTCATGAACTTTAGAAGAAAATTTTAGTTGCATAGTTTTTTTTTGCTTTTGCAATTATACGTGATGTATCAGTATGTTAAACATATTAAAACATTATATTTTCAGACAGCACTAACCCCCAGTTGTTCAACTTACCCATGAGTATATTAGTTGAGAGTATCTGTGGTAACAACAGTAAAAACACTTGTTTCCTACCTGGTAACTTAGTGGCAGCCCACCCGACACAACCACTATCCATGAACCTTCTGGACTCGCTTACAGTCCATGCCAAAATGAGTCTGATCCACAGCATAGTCTCAAAGGTGATTCGCCAGGCTAAAAGTAAGAGCACAGCAGCTCTTGCACCGGCTTTAGTCGAGACCTACAGTCGTTTGTTAGTCTACATGGAAATAGAATCTCTTGGAATAAAAGGGTTCATAAGTCAGTTACTTCCTACTGTATTTGCGAGTCATGCCTGGGGTATTCTTCACACTCTTCTGGAGATGTTTAGTTATCGTCTGCATCACATACAGCCTCATTATCGAGTTCAGCTTCTAGGTCATCTGCATACGTTATCTACAATCCCATTGACCAATCAGAATCAACTTCACCTTTGTGTTGAAAGCACTGCCCTTAGATTGATCACAGGGCTAGGCAGTGCAGAAGTGCAACCCCAGTTGTCTCGAATCTTCAATGAACCGAAGACAGCCGGTTTCCTGTCGCAGGATTCTGAGGAATTGAATCGAGTTCTGGTTCTTACCCTTGCTCGAGCAATGCATGTAACGGGATCCGAGTCATTCTCAACAAACTGGTGCAAGGACATCCTGGCAACAATTATCCAGAGTACACCACACTCCTGGCCATCACATACTTCCACCTGCTTCCCAACATGCCTGAATGAATTCTTTCATCAAAATCCCATCCCTAGAGAAGATAAGGTTAACCTAAAGAGAAATGTTGAGACTGAGTACAAGAAATGGAGAAGTATGGCTAACGAGGCAGACATTATCGCCCATTTCAGCATGCAAGGCACTCCACCGTTATTCCTCTGCATCATTTGGAAGAACCTTATTGATGATAGCAGAATTGCTCCCATAGCCTACAGAGTGCTTGAAAGAATAGGACCAAGAGCTTTGTCCGCTCATCTACGCATGTTTTGTGACTTCATTGTATACGAGTTCTGTCTCGCTGGGAACCAGAGTTATTTTACACGATACATAGAGGCGATCAACGACATGGTGTGGAAATGTAATATTCTCACAATTGACAGACTGGTTCTTTGTTTGGCTCTACGAAACCTGGAGAATAATGAAGCTCAGATTGCTTTCTACATCATTTACCAGATTCTGGTGCGGTCATCTGATTTTAAGAACCGGGTAGCCGACTTCCTGCGGGAAAATACACCGGACCATTGGTTACAGAGCAATTGGCATGATAAGCACATGACGTTCCATAAGAATTATCCAGAGAAGTTTTTCTATGAGGGAATACAGGATCTGAATAGCCCAATACAGCATCAGTATCTTCCGGTGTACTTCGGCAACATCTGTTTACGGTTTATTCCGGTGCTTGATATTCTCATTCATCGATTGATAGAGATGTCTTCTGTACAGAAATTCCTGGAGAGCATTCTGGACAATTTGGGCGGGCTTTATAAGTTCCATGATCGACCAATTACATACCTGTACAACACATTGCATTATTACGACAACAAGTTGGCTAACAGGTCAGGTCTTAAGAGAAAGCTTGTGGGTGCCATTATCCGAGCACATCAGGAAATTCATCCAAACAACTGGTGTCTCACAGAAGATTATCAGAGGTACTTACAGATGTCTGCCGATACTACAAACTGGATACCAGAGCAAGATTACTACATCCGTTTGATTGGCAGGCTGGTTGAAACTATAGATGGTCAGTCACCATTTCCCAGCTGTGATTGGCGATTTAATGAATTCCCAAACCCAGCAGCTCATGCATTACATGCGACATGTGTTGAACTAATGGCTCTACCAGTTGCCAGTCAGAATGTGGGGGTGGCTATCCTAGATGTTGTCTTGAAAAGTGCTTCACAACTTCCTAGAGAGAAACTGATGGGATGGATGAATGCGGTGGGTCTCGTACTTACTGCTTTGCCCGAGACTTACTGGAATGTCTTAAATGAACGCATCATTGAGACGATGCAGAGTTCACTTCTCACAAACCTGGGTCGCACTTTCTTTGAGATGTTCGACTTCCTCACATGTCAGAGTATGTATGTAGAATCAACATGCACTTACGTCGTGGCTCTTGCACACGCGGTATGGCATCATGCAGGGATCGGTCAACTGAGTGTTCTTCCCCAGTTTGTCAAAGAAAAAATCAAATGTTGTATTAAGACAGAGGAGCAGTTTCTCTTTCTATTGTATCTGATAGGACCGTTTCTGTCCCGGTTCCACATCGAGAGAACAAGATGTCTGTTAGATTTAACCGTTGAACTGTATGAGATCTTAGCAAACATTGACAAATCATGCGACCATCTTCATCACATGGACATTATCACTGATTTTCTGTACCATATTAAGTACATGTTTGTCGGAGATGGCGTAAAGAACGAGGTGGATAAGGTGATTCGAAACCTGAGGCCCGCTCTGCAGTTACGTCTTAAGTTCATTTCTCACACCAATGTTGATGAAACTCCGGTTGCTACCCCACGGGAAAGCATTTCCTCTGCAGGACTCGAGTCAAAAGGAAAATATTTCGGTGAATGAAGTGCTAGTGTAAAGTCAAGTGTGACAGTGCTGTCATCATGTTATAACATTATTACATGAGTGCATCAGATGCGCAGTTTACATTGAAATCATGTTCCATTCATTTTGTTCCTATTGACATCTATTGACCGTTTCTTATTGTTCATGGATTTATTTATGTGTGTTAATAACTTTTGTGATGCATTTTATTCATCAAGATAATTTTTGAAATCTTAAGATATTTTTGTATCATCAAAATGTTAGTTTATACATGTATATTTCATGGGTTTATTACTGTTTTATTTTATGAGAATGTTAAAACAATTTGATAAATCATGAATACATGTACATCATATCCCTGTATCAAGACTGTCATAAAAATTAGAAGATTTTGGAAAAAAAATGTCACCATATTTGTGCAATAAATACATTTTTTGCCATTTTCATCAACAATTTTATTATCAATTTTTTTCTGTGAAATTGTCAGTTGCTTTCCTTTTGGACATTTTTTTT